TTATAAAGCTATTGCGGATAGAATTTATGTCTTTGGAACGCTGTGAAGTATATCTACACTGCGTTATTCCTGCCTGTGGGAGTTTATAGTGTTTGTAATGGATGTTTGAACCATGGAAGACTAGGCATGTATGCTAAAGGGAATACATGCCGAGCGTTTAATGTACCTAGGATTTGCACACCACCATGATACTGCCATGTTGCCGGTAAGGCTGCAGCGCGGTAAGCTCTGGGAACCATGCGGCTTACACCTTGCCCCTACAGCGGGGATTAGGATCATTTACCACGGTGTCACCTGAAGCTACTCGGTCTCTTCTGATCATACTGTCTAGACATGACGTGACGATCATATTGCGGGGTTGAATTAAGAAATCTCTATTATACAGTACATGTAACAGACTAGGTGTAACTTTGTTATGCATTATGCATCGTTGCAATCTCAGCAACGTCTACAATGTATGTGGTAGCATCCATGTCAAAGTTTTTTTTGCCTTAAAAGGTTTGTTAAATTCGTTAGTACTCATTGTAAGATTGAGTTTATTATTGCACAGAATTGTCAAGAAGTAAAGAAACATGTGGGGAAATGGGGAACACTACACAATTATCTCGTTAATTAGGAAACAGTTTGTAAACTGTTTTGGATTACTATTTAGTTTGTTTGTTTGTCTTGTACACCACGTATACTTTATTTGTATTCCTACAACTGTCATACTTTCTTGAAAATGCAATAAAAAAATTAAACAAAAAAATCCATGTCAAAGTTTCTGATATTGTTCGAGCTATGTGATCCTTAACCTTTCCCCACACCCGAAACCAGCTTGTTGATGATATCTGTAGATGTAAACGTAACAATAGAAAATTACAAATCAATAAAAAAAGAAACCCCAGTACAAGACCAATGTGGGATAATATTATACACTACATAGGGTACATTGCAAACATGCATTGGCTTGCATTACAACGTGGAATCATAAATCTCGTTAAATATCAAAACCTATGGCATGTCACGGGCAACAACCTCTGCCCGATTCTTCCTAATGTACTTGCAATTTGGCAAGATTGCCACAATGTATCAATATCGGGCCATAACCAAGAACGATGCCTGATCTGTAACCCTGAGCCATGCCTCTACATTCACCCCATTAGACTCCTTTCACCCGGAAATCGCACCACTCGTGCCGAGGTATTTTCAGCACAGGGTGAATTTGGGCCAACGCCATTTGGGTCTAACGTTCGTGAAGAATGTTAACATTTGAACCGACTATGGTAAAACCGTGTAGCATTTGCAATTCAGGGTGCTTTAGACACGATTTGACTGCGTGTGGTACCTCCCAACATATTGGGTGCTGCAGTGGAAATGGGTATAATTGGGGTGACATTGGTCGAATCATAACCCTACATAATAATGCCAAAGTTAGGAGGAAATAGTGATGCATAGTCCTGGTACCTAAGAAAAGAGCCCCATCTTAGCCCATCTTCATTTAAAAGTGTGATAGATGCGTCGTTTTTCACAGTGACCTAGTTTGCACTCGACAGCTGAGGCCAAGCAATTCTCATAAACATGACAGGCGGGGAGAAAGTCAGTGTGCGGGGGTGACCCTGGTGTCTGCTCGCCCGTGGAGTGAACTATGGGCACCGGCTTTGAACAGCTGGGTATCGGCGTGCTCCAGACATGCATGCATACAAATACTGCAGCTCCAACAACCCTGGCGTGTATATCACAGTGGACATTACCCGACGCCTTCGGGTGGAACTTTTGAAGATGAAGCCATTTCTAAGCAACCCTCGCCAGGGCTTTGAATCGCCCCTTGTAAAACACGAGATTGCATTGTACTTTATGGCAAACAGCAAACCCGCAAATGATAACTTCCAAACTACTGCGTTAATGGGCTGTTAAAGAAATTGCAGGCTCGAAGGAAAATACAGTTCCTCGAAGACAATTTATGTTGAGTAAAAAGACAAAGCATCTTGGTAAAAAACCAAGCGGTCGGTGTTGTGTTGCAATGAAAAAAATTATTTATTAATCCATAATGCAACCCTACTGCTTAGATTGGGCCTAGGATCAATAAATGGTTGATAAAATTTGATAATCTGAAAGTTGACGTCGAGGATTACAATTAATTTAATTAGGTTATTTTACTAGATCACACTCAGGCCCGTTACCTGTTTTCCAGTTTTCCCTGGGTACGATTGAGGGCGATAGTTAGGGCAAACTTGTGCCCAGTACACGGGCTGTCATTGCCTTTGTCGAGAAGGCTATGAAGTCACTTTGCTATATATATTGTGGGGGACTATGCGGCATAACTCTTGAAGACATGGTTCGATGTTCATGATTTTTGGCAGGCAGGTTACCGTTGAAAAGACCAAGGTCAAGCCAAAAAATGGGCCTCATGGGCCGTCCCTACGTTACTGCAGTGGACATTCTGTTTGTCATTTTTATTGTTAACAGGATAACTCGAGTATATGTATACGGTTTTTGGTAGGCAATTTACCGTTGTGGAGACCAATCGGACTGCCATTGGATTTAGAGACTATGATCAAAGGATATAGATACAAATGAGGATATTTCCATAATCAATGTGAAATATGCAGTCGTAAATTTGGCAGTCATAAAGGTTAACATCATTTGACGAAGGTATGAAGTCGTGGAACTCGTAGTTCCTGAAATGAGGCTACGTTTTCACCATCGTTTGAATGTTCTCAGCAAGAAGTTATGAAATAATTTTTTTACACTAGTTATATTTGGCTCTAGCTACGGCCTACGGGCGAAAATATGCAAATACTGCGGCGAAAGAAACTGTTGTTCTTCTGCCGTTAAGATTAATGACGTTCTTGCCGTGAAATTCTGAAGCACGTTTTATCTTAAGGAGACACCCGCGTGGTGACATTTTCTTGAATATCCTGTTATGAAATGGATGGCTTCCCCTCGGCGTAACTAGCTCCTTGCTAATCTCTTCATATGTAGCCAGTGACACCGGCTGGGTGTTGAAGGGACGGGGTCCAGATTAACCCATCCGTACTCTACTTTACTCACAACCTACGGCAAGTGTCAGGCCGTCAAATGTTGGCGAAGATCTGTCAACTCAGCGCAATGTTCTTGACGTCATCTAAGCTTTTGATCACGGAATGCACTCCAGATAGACTGTGGGCGATGATAAAAGACTCCTCTGATAAATTCCCGAGCTCTGGTGGCAACGTTGAATTATTCAGTGCCCCAGTTCTTCAGAACGTAGAAGGTTTCTGCTTGAGGAGTTTGTAAGTGCCAGTAAGAGATAAAACCCACATCGCCATCCATTTCCTGTCAGACATCAAAACAACATGACTGTATGTGGTAAACAAGATTGAAGTTAAAGCAATCCAAATGTTGGCAGAATGCCTTAGATATATCCACTTTGCGATATCATAAAGACATAACCATATTCATCGATCACAAAGTACATTAATTTTTCAAGCTCAAAATGTGTCGGCCACCACGTGAACTCAAACTTCTAATGATTTTTTCTCAGCCTCCTTCAGCCTTGACATTGCAGAAGTTGGAACACTTAGAGGCAATTAGTGCAGCATTCGTGCGCTATAAAGACAACATGGGGAATTTTCCGGTCTCCTCATCATGCATATCGCAGACATCAGCACGTACCTTTAAATTACCGCACAAGTTTGCTATTCATCCCACAGATACACTTTTACAAAGTTCTTTGTTCACAACCATTTATTTTTCACGAACCGACGTTTCGATGACCTTCTGTCATCTTCATCAGGGCAATGCTGACTGGTTTGCTGTGCAATGACGCTAGATGTTACTTGGTGCATAGTCCACTAAAGTCGTTACATAGGTCACAGTGCACTGTTACTTGGTGCACAGTAAACCAGTCAGAATTGCCCTGATGAAGATGACAGAAGGTCATCGAAACGTCGGCTCGTGAAAAATAAATGATTGTGATCAAAGAACTTTGCTATTCATTCTTTTACCAACCTGATGAAATTACTTACGGATGTATCTGAGGGAATCTTCGAGAAGCATCTGACATTTTGATGACGTGGCTTGTCACAGTTTTCTAACCAATGGGTGGCACGGTGCTTACCGTTTCCTGCACCGCTAGCCACGGTCACTAATCACTGCATTTAACCTTATCAGATACAGGCACAGTTGTTTTCTGTTATCACCAAGATCCCAGTCTTATGATAAGGACTTATGCGGTGATCATAGGTAAAGCTGTAAATGAGTGCTAATGCTAAAATCACTATGCCTGGGGGCGGAACACCGGCACAGTTACATAAATCTGAAAGATGTCACATAGCTGCCTTAAGTAACTTTAATACTACTTTGCCTGGCGTTCTAAATCTATATGAATTGTAAGCATACTACTTGATGTTATAATCATTACGAACATTAACAAGAAAACTGTTCCACAAGCAACTGGGTAGATAGACGCTTCAAGTAGCATCTAGAACTTTTCTTTGACGAAATTTAGTGGGTGGGTGCTATATAGTTGCCTGAGGAACTGTTTTCAATTATGTCTTATCACCAAACGTCGTATCATCATCGACGTATTGCGGCGATTCTTTACTAAAGCCATGCGAAGATAAAAATAAGACACAAGTTCGATCGTGATAGAAATAGTTATTGTTGAGACATACATTAACCTATACCACAGGCTGTATATGTAGGTCGTTCATGTAAGAAGTATATGGCACTTTTTCCACAATCGTGTTTTAAAGTACATAGTATAACTGCCATAGTACTTGGATACTTGTGTGGTCTCAGATGTTATCCACCTTAAACAAGTCCACGCGAAGGCCACCGTGTCAACCCTCCTCACTCAGGTGTAGGGACTGACACGGTCATTACTAGGAAAATCTGTATCTGTATATCTGTACATGGATCTGTATCTGATTGCAAATAAAGATCTCGAGTGATTGCCATAGATGACTTGGATACGTATCATCACTTGTATACAATCAATGATATGTTTAAAAACTAATACAATTCTGTTTCTCCAGGATTATACCATCACCGTATTCCTGCGGCAATACTGGCGGGACAACCGCCTGCAGTACACCGGCACCAACAAGAGCCTGAGTCTGGACGGGCGGCTGGTGGAGAAACTCTGGGTACCGGACACCTTCCTCGTCAACTCCAAAAGCTCCTTCCTCCACCGGGTCACCGTGGACAACAGGCTGATCCGGATTGAACCGAACGGCAACATTCTGTACGGCATGAGGTGAGAAAACGTCGTCACAGGCAGCAGACATCGAAATTAAATTTTCTTCCTATTGTCCCAGCACTGTCCTGAAAATAAATTTAATTTTTCCCGAGGTGAGGTTGAGCTGTCCCAGCCTGTTTTTTACGGGAAGTATGTAATACCATGATTTCAACTTGAAGTCAACTTTATTTTGCTTACGTTCTGAATCCCAGAGTAGACAGGAAATTCGGGGGGACTCTTCAGGAGCCAAAAGCTGGGACGTGTGTCTGATAAAAAAACAAAAGAAGAACTGACGATGTTGATTATTTTTCTATTGTCCCCAAAATGTCCCAAAGTGTCTTTTTTGGTTTTCCTGGCCTAAATTTTAGTGGCCATTGGCCATCGAGCCACACTGTCAATATCGAGCCCTGTCAGGGTACTGTTGCTTTTGGGTGTGTTTTTGCTTGATTGTGCGTCTGTACAGTTGTGTGACAGTAGATGGGTGGGGAGAATTCCCTTCTAACAGATGACGAAAGGTTAAAAAACAGAGAAAGTTAGGTCTCAGAAGCTGAAAGCGAGCCAGCAGAAAGTTGGCCCGGAGTTTGTTGGCTAGAGGGGAAATGCGTAACCGTGGGCCGAACTAGTATCTGGTCGCTGTATGGTTTATTCCTGGGTTCAGTACTTGTGGTGATAGTAATATAGATAGCACATACTCATGTATCTTATTTGTTCTTGGCATACAACGTATTGTCTCTAGTACGCAGAACTTAAATACAATGTGAAATGGTTTGATTGTTGGTAGAATTGGATATTACGGTGATTCAAATGTCACTACATTGGTATAGGCATGCATGAAGACCAATACATAATGTCATTGTTGCAACATTGCCTATTCCTTTAATATCCCGAAATGTCACATTGAGAAAGTTATACTATGAACAAATATTGCCTTTTGGCAATACTAGCTCTTTACACAACCATTCCAATATATATTTAAATTAGAATTAATGACACCAATGGTTACAGTATAGAGACCTGTATTCCGGTGGGTGGTATTGTGTGCCGTCTACAGGGACTGTTACTTGACAAGCTTCGGAACAGAAGTTTGACGAATATTTTTGTAGATGAGATCCTATGGACGTCCAGCCGTGTCTGTACATCCCCAAGAGTTTAAATGACAAATGGCTCTTCACATTGCAGTAATGGGCCTGCTTACCTACCACAGTGCCCTAGTCTCTACGTAGTGACCCAGTGAAGTGCAGCGACGTCTCGGTAACAAGTTGATGTTCCCGGGCGGCTTTCGAAAATGTTGTTCCCATGTTGCATTCCAAAACGTGGTCCATTCCAAATCATGATTTGGAATAGAATGCACCTGCATTCCAAAACGTGGTCTATTCCAAAACATGATTTGGAATAACACGAAGTGGAATGCCTGTTGCATTCCAAAACGTGATGCATTCCAAAGCATGACTTTTCGTAATCACGTGTCTGGGGGCGGAGCCTCGTACTTAGGGGGCGGAGCTTCGAACTTCTGAGGGCGTGGCTAAATGATACGTGTCTGGGCATGTTTTGTAACGCTTAGCGTTCCATTATAGCTACAGGCTGTCAGACGTGTAAACTTTAATGATGAAATGGGAGTCTCAAAATGTCACACGCGCGTTTTAGAATACCTGTGTCAACTATCTAAATCATGATTAACGTCAAATATTTCCCAAAGTTTCAAATTGGTAGCTTTTGCCCATGCTGTCGGCCTCTATATTTTGACCTTCTAAACCTCCTCGGTGTTAGGCCCGATTTAGACTAGAAACGGTATACCGTTTCGAAACGGTACGAAACGTTTCGCCACAGAAAACGGTTCGTCTTTAGACACAGAGGCGGAAGCGTTTCGGGCCACCCGTGGCGCAGGATGTTTCTGACCCACAGTGACCTATGATGACCTCCCCAAGCCGCTTCTACGGTTTGCCTCATTGGCCTTATGATACTTGTGTTTCAGGGCCTTGAACTTCGCCCGAACCTGCTTTGGGGTGCGTAAATACTCCTCAGCCGCCAGCCCGTCCACAAGCATCTGTATGCCCTCCCTATTACGCGAGGTCTCCAAGCGGGATTGTATAGTTTGATCGGCCCACAAGCTGATCAAGCAGCGGATCTCTTCTTGGGTCTAGACCCTCCCCTGGCCTTCTGCCATCCCCCCAGACATAAAGGATGACGAAAATTCGAGAAATACATGATATAAAATGACGAAAATGGACACAATCGAATATGGCGCGAATCTACCAGAAAATGGACGTGCGCGGGCTTATTAGCATGTGATTAGCATATGACACGTGACCTGGTTTACCGTTTTAAGAAACCCTTTGACTTTAGACCTAGCAAAAGCGTTTCGGGCCCCCCGCTGAAGGGTTCTGAAACGGTCGAAAACCACGATGGAGGTGGTTTTCGGAAACGGTCCGCGAAAACCCATAACAAACCGTTTTTTCCTCTTTAGACCGGGAACGGTTAACCGTTCCGAAACGTTTCCCTGGCCAAAACCCCTTAAGCGTTTCTAGTCTAAATCGGGCCTTAGTCACGGCATGCCCGTCGGACACCGCACACAACTATGCTTCGGCCGTGTACTGGCGGTAACCGAAGCATGGCTCACACGCAACTGTGGCGGCCATCCCTTTCACAATCTAAAAAATTCATCAACAAATGTTCAAACTCAACAACTCCACACAAAACTGTTGTTGTCGAAGCCCTTTCCCAAGCCCACATGTCTGAAGCACGTTTTGGAATATTCCATTTCGTGTCTGAAACATGTTTCGGAATATTCCATAACGTGCCTAGAGAAAGGACATGAAATGGAATATTCCAAAACATGTCTGGAGCACGTTTCGGAATATTCCATATCGTGGCTAGATATCCCATATGGGCCGTGGAGACCACATTCTTACAAAATTAGGCTTATTTGCGTAATTCAATGACACAAAGTAATGCTAAATATTTACAAACTTCACTTAAATATCAAAAGTTTTAACTAGAAATGAAAGCTCCTTGCTATAAATTACGTTCTCTCTTCTATGTATAAACAACTATCACGTGATTCTATTAGCGGGAAAATAATGAGAAACGGATGCGCGAGCGTCCGACCATTTAGGACCGCACACTGATGAAGATAAACTCAGACCAGAACCAGACTATGAAACATCATACCAAGAACATTATCGTACTGTTCATTGACGTCATTTTCCCCATACAGCTCGAACGTACTAATACCTTTGGCACGCTAAGTTCGACGACATGTTCAGACAAGTAAACACGACGTGATTTAACACAGTATCTGTATACAGGCAGCCAACGGACCAAATATGGAAACTTCGGAATGAATAATTAATCACCACTCCTGTCAATCATTTGTGATTGACAGCATGGCCGGTCACGTTTTAGAACATTCCAAATCGTGATCCAGCTGCGCCAGATGATTTGGAATACAACATGTGGAATGCCTGCTGCATTCCAAAACGTGGTCCATTCCAAATCATGATTTGGAATAACACGTTTTGGAATGCAACATCCCAGCAACTTTGAGGAATGGAGTGTCTGAAGTCAGCACCATCAAACTCTCTACTGAGATTCTGTCTTTTGTACGTGAAGTAATCTCCTTAGACATATTGACTACAGATTTCGTTGTGCCAGGAAGAGCGTCTTGAAGGTAGCTAACGTTGTTGTTACTCATCAATGCTGAACACATGGGTTCAACCAGTTGCCACTCATGGGTGAACACTAAATCCCATGACGACTGAACTGTCCATTCATTATTACTGCATGAGTGTCTCCAGTTCAACCATGTCGATCGAGAATGAACAATTTGAACAAGTTTCAAACTTGACTAGGTCGCCTTCCTATCTGGTATATCTATAATAAAACTATGAGTTGTAGGCCTTGCTGAAAATATAATGAATTCATATTTACATAAGTGGTATTGAGATAAATTCTAGTTTCCTTGGAAAACTTTTACAACGATTTATTTCTTATCTGAACTAGTTTTGGTGGCTGTTTTCTGTGCTTAGCAAGTGGTTCAGGGGAAATTGAGTCTGGATACGAAATGTAGGTCATTCTGGGCTTACTGCTGACTCATCAGTAGTATTAGGCAACGCTGTTAGCTACCCGGAGAAAAATAATTGATGATTGACCCTGTAGCAGATTTTCCAATTTTCAAGCCGAGAAGCTGTTCACCGGAAACAAATTGAAATCGCTTCAGCCAGACGCAAACGTGCCACGTGCATGTGCCACAGTAACCCCAATTTCACCGCTTCCTCTGCCGCACACCACCTTTGGACTCGTAGTCGTTTGTCTTAACAGCCCTTCGTGAAAATTAAATCAATCTCACGTAATCTACTTTTCCAGAATCTCTTATGTTTTACAGCAATCCCTCACAGCCGCAAATCGTAGATTTGTCAAAGTCAAGTCAAAGTTTATTGCACAACGATTGTAACAGGTACAATGTATGACAGATAATAATAAGATTACTCGTTGGTGTCAGTCTATCCAGAGAGATTCTACATATGACTTCAACTGGCATCATGGCAAAATGTTGATAAAATCTGACTAGTACACCTCCACACGTATGTTCTAAGCTACGGTATACTATATTCCTAAAGAGTACACTGTTGTATACATATATATGCACGAGTAAGAAAGTCTTAATCAGAAGGAGCTAGGTATTTGGTACCTAGTTGCTTGAGTAACTGCCTTTTGGCGTAGGTATTTTAGTAGTTTTCGTGTGACATAACATAAGAGTTTGATTGTACGATATATTGCCAGCCTGGAGTCAGACGCACATGCTGCAAAAGCGTTATCGCCCTCGTTATTTTCTCGGGAGTCGCTCGTCATTTATCGTCCCGGATGGCTGACCCCCTCGCCCGGATGTCAGGGGTGGTGGTACGAATGCCTCTAGTCAGCACTTTCCCGACTAGAGCCCGCCGTGATGCCGTACTTAATCTTCTCCCCCACCGGCCTGCTGAAACACCGTCCCCGTTAATGGTGGACGACGATCCGTCATTCACACAGGACTAACACCGTTAATTAGCGTCCCATCTCTCTAACACTGCCAGCGGGACACATTACCTTTGTTTGGCACATCGATTTCCACAGACGTTTCTGGGCCGATTCTTAAAGAATGGCGTAATGAAGAAGACAGGCGATGCTCATTGTTCTGATGAAGAGACACTGATGAAACCTGTTTGTAAGACGTGTCAATGTGTCATGAGTTAGATTTGTAAGGGTGGACTGAGTAAGATGGAGTGGGGAAGAACCCTATTACAGGTAAATCCAGTGACTGAGCCTGGATTTGCGGACGCATGATTGCAACGGCTCGATCAGCTTAGCTTTCGGCCGTTCTGGCCGTCATGTCTTTTTTTAAAAGAGTGCGAAGTATAGTTTTTATTAAATGTCAGTTACTTCTTGGAGTAGGCATATTTTTCAATGTGTTCATAGTAGTTTTGATTTTCATCTTTAAGAAGGTCTGGCTAAGGCGTAGGTTGGGTGCCATCCGATTTGTAACGGCAACCCAGAAAAAAAGATTTTTTTGGGTTGCTGTTACAACTCGGATGCCACCCAGCCTAGCTAAGGCGTGCTAATACTTGAAAATCAGAGATGCTGGTTGGATTTCTGACAGCACATCGCTGTCTATCCCTCCCTTATCAGAGACACATCCGCGTGATGATAACGAAAACTGCGCCAAAGCGCTTCATAATCTATATAGGACATCACCACAGCTTCTATATGTAGTAGTAGCAAGCATTTTCTTCAAGTTTGGGTTGTGCAGATCTTCACATTCTTTACCTAAGATCATTAGGCCATCAATGTCTCCACGGTGGCGATTTGATACTGAAAAGTTACTTCTACATACCATAAAGCAATGTGTCTACAACGATAGTGGCATCATATGTTACATCTAAACATGTAAACGATATGTCGCCACTGGCAGCTTCTTCTGATGAAGTCGACAGAATGAATGGGTGATACTGTACCTGGATTTAAGGTTTCTCTCACCAACCCATTATCAACATTGCCAGCAGAATGGGATGGCGAGCCAATAGCTAAGCACACACAGAACATAGCTACTTAGATCTGCTAAAAGAAAAAGGGTATCAGAATGTACAAAATTGATAGATGGCGCCTTTCGTTCTTTGATGTGGCGACTGACAAAGTAAGCAGAGGTTCTTAAGTGATAGGCTGCTGGAAATGAGATACGGGATAGAAGTAAATGAGATACGGGATAGCAGTAATGCGGGGGACAATCATAGCCCATGGTAACAAAATCCGGTTCGGTAAGCTGGGCTGGGGACATTAAATCCCGATGAATTGTGGCGTATGTCTGACCAAGTGACCATTCCAGACACATCATTTGTGAAGGTTTACACAGACTGAATAACAAACTTGTGCTGAATGATGTGCCGAATTTAAAGATAGTCCCGTCTTTCTCTTTGCTGGCGGGGAAGACGCCACAAAAAGGATTTGAAAAGAGAACTGTATAAGTTGTGACTCGGTCATGTTAGAGGAGTCTTATTTGACGACATCATTAAACAGGGCTTTTGGCTATGGTAAAATTGCTTTTCCTGCCTCTGGCTCATTCCAGTTCAGTTTCAATGCAATGCATTCATTTGCTTTTAGATCCTCTTAAATAAATGACTGAAATAAAAACCCCACCGGCCACCATACAAGGTGAAGGATACAGTGTAGTTGAAGAGACTTCTGGGCCACTGGTGGATTCTTGCTCACTTTACAACTCCCTTTGCTTTATCCTTTAGCCTGGGGTGTCACTGGTGACCAGGTGATTCCAACGGGGTTTTCATCCTTAAGACAACACGTCGATACCTTTCACAACTCCGCCAAATCGCATAAAGCACTTTTGTGGGACCTGTATAATGGGAAAGCTTTTTCGTAGAAAGTAGTGTGTGCACAAGGCGGCCAGCTGCACCTAATCTTATCTCCCAGTTGTTTGGGAGAAGATAACGTTAAGTTTTCGACTAGAATAGCTAATGCCATGCGTGCTTAGAATAAGTTGCCAAAATACTCGGTAATGGACATGCCACCGTCACTTGAATGACGAGCTGTGTACTCTGACTTGCTTACCATTAACATTTCAGAAACAAAGCTGTGAATACAAGTGGAATATTATTTTACGTAACTCACATTTCCATAACTGTATACAAAACATTACGATTCCTATTAGAGTACCAGAGTGTCTTACAATTGCTTATGTAAACGCCATGCAGCGAATGGCATTTACTTAGTTATCTGTCTACAATTAACCTCGTGTTTGCAAGAAACCATGCATGTGAGCGTACATGTAAACTATGTAAGTATGTATGACATTAGTTATGTACATTAAGCTACAAGTCACATATATGCAAATTCATCACCCAAACTACGAGAACTCCAGCTATTCTTTGATATATTAACTTCTTAGTTAAATCTTCTATGTTTAGATGGCTTTAATGAAGAAGCACTTGTCTAATCTATGGTTTCTTTCACCTACAGAATCACAGCGAAAATTGCCTGCCCCATGGACTTGCGGAAGTACCCACTGGACGAACAAAACTGCACTATGGAGTTAGAGAGCTGTAAGTGTGTGACCTTTTTTATTCAAAATCTTCCCAAAATCTTACATGCGTGCGATTGAGGTCTAAGTAACACATGATGAATTAACAACACGATTTACAAGGTGCAGGCAATAATAATGGTTAAATAATGACCAGGCAGCCCTGGGAGTAAAATATGCAGACCATTCCGTGAGGGCCTTTGGCGTGTGTGCTGAAAAATAGCGTGATCATCCCTAGTTGATGCAGGATATGGGAGGTAAAATGTCCCCATAATACATGACGCCGTTATTTTGCTATTAATCATACTTCATGGGCGATCATTATCATTAACCGATAAGCTCTCACACTCATCAAAAGTGAAGAAGGTCACCACAGATGTCGGCAGAATGATCATGAATGGACGAGTCTGTAGCAACAACACTCTCAACGATTACAATAAAATATTTTTTGAAGTGTGGTGGAAAATTCAGCAGATATGTACGTCATGGTACGTAGATGACGTATACGTATCGATGAAAAGAAAAGTGTGAGGCAGTCTGTAGCAACAACACATTGAGCGGTTACGACGAAAGATTTGTTGAAATATGAAGGAACATTGAGCAGTCATCTACATCATTGTACGTAGATGACGTATCGATGAAAAGTGTTAGGCAGTCTGTAGCAATAACACATTGAACGGTTACGACAAAAGATTTGCTGAAATATGGAGGAACGTTGTGCAGACATGTACGTCATGGTACGTGGATGACGTATCGACGAAAAGAAAACTGTGAGGCAGCCTGTAGCAACAACACATTCAACGGTTATGACAAAAGATTTGTTGAAATATGGAGGAACATTCAGCAGACATCTACATCATGCTTCGTAGATGACGTATCACTGAAAAGTGTGAGGCAGCCTGTAGCAACAACATATTTAACGGTTACGACAAAATATTTGTTGAAATATGGAGGAACATTGTGCAGTCATGTATGTCATGGTACGTAGATGACGTATCTACGAGCAGTGTCTTCTGGAGCAAATCCTACATGAAACATAGATTCATCTCGAAACATAATAGATGATTCTGATCTAGTAGTTCAGACAGAATTGGGAGATGCCATAACATAGTCCGTTCGTCATCCAAAATGATAAAACAAGTACAACTAGATAATCTAATTATTAAATGTTCATGGACCCATTACGATTCTCCCTGCGTCTGTGAAGACGTTATCATGCGAAGATGCTGTAGCTTAAGGTGGCCGTGACAAATCGTCTCGGTAAGACATCCCACTTGTCACGGTGACAAAGAGCCTCATCCAGCGACGCTGAAATATTCCGAAAGTTATCCGTAACCGGCGGGCTGATAGATTGGTGAAGAGATAACTCATCCCCAAAGTTAGCCTCCTCCATCCATCTTCCAAAACGACCGTCCGATGCAGATTCCGGGAACCTGCCCTGGAAAGGCAGAGATGGGGTGGAGAGAACGTAATGGGCCGGAAAATTACTCCAACTCGAGGCAATTGACCTGGATCACACTTTGCTGAGGTTTGCTTGATGGAAGTGCGGCGAGTCTTAATGGGTGGCCGCCACTGCTTATTTCCTACCTCACCAACGATACTTATTTCATATTGATCTTCTATCCCAATATAGGGTTTATCTATCATGTGTACAAAGTGTCGTCTTTGCTGATGTATCTATCGATGCCTAAATCGTTCCTTTGCAAGACGACAGTGTAAATCATGGTGTCTGCTGCTGTATCAATTGTAAGGCACTGCACGTTTTCTAAGTACGACACTTCCACAAAAAAAACTCAACTGAAAAATCAGTGGATTTCCAGGATACTGAACAGTAATAGGAAGGCTTATTGTTGTAAGTATAGGGAAAAATGATGGCCGTGGTGTTTGATACCATTATTTCCACCACTGTCTGCTAACATGTAACTCAATGCCATGAAACAGTCGTCACAGGTTTTAGATGGACATTTCAAAGTTTGAACTGCCGTCTGCCAGTAATTATCTATACTTTTTGCAAATAATGTGCACGAAAACTACAGTATCAATATAGAATAATGTTACAAGACTGTCGTACAAGACGTAATTTCGTCCAAGTTGCATGGCAGCAGAACAATACTTTGGATGGGAGATGTAACGTTCCTAATACTGCCAGAATCACTGTAGAATATGGTGAGTTCATTGTGAAAAATGGTTGCAATCCTTATCAAAATCTAGGACGGGCATAGGCCCACGTTTTATCGTGCCAAGTCATTACTCACCAATGTCTAACTAGATTAGCTCTTACAGTGGTTCTACATGACTGCCCACCAGGCTCTGTCACTCCCAATGTTTCTAACTGGCAAGATAGTGGTCAATGAATACTAGTAAAAATTATGGGATTGTGATTTCATGCACTGGTATTAACAAGAGTGATGATAAGAGATGATAGATTCCCAAGAGCGTAAATGATAGAATGGAAAAGTCTGGAAAGTAGACATTAGTTGATAAACGTAAATGGCATGATTTAGTAGAAGTATTTCACTTTCTTTCATGGCAGACGCCAAACTGATACTGACCTGGCCGGTGGTACACACTTGACGAATTAAGGGGATTAGGTAACATATTTTTCGCTGATACGAGGATTCCTGCCGTCTTAACAATTCTTGCTCGCCATGCATCATTCTGACCGAAAAGGCTCTGCAGTGGCCGCGGACGTTTTTCAGAGCAAACCAGAAAGAATGAACACAGATCCAGCCAGATACAGGGCTTTGGCTGTGACGAAACTCTGAAACCAATGGGGATTAAACATGACGATAGCAAAAGAAAAGAACTAAAACTTAGTAAAAGGAAGAAAGACAGCGTACTCCCTCCTACAATCTGTAAACTCGGTGTATTGCACTAAGATGGAAAAACTCCCAATAATTTTGGATATGTTAAAAATGAAAGACAGACGGCAACAGAAGTAGTGATACATGGGTTGTCGTCCCTATGAATAAGGTAAAATAGAGCTGCGCCAAAGACATACACAAAGTTCATCAAACACATGTGGTTCTCTAATGCTAAGGCTTTAGTCCTTTACCAGAAAGAAGCAGACAGGAAAGTTGGTTATTTGTTACCTATTTTGAATGATTGAAGTAGCTACTTTCTGACATTGTAGGTAGGCACAGACCTATCCAGAATGATCAGTGCTAAGAGACTGGCTGTGTTTGTCAACGACTGCAACAGGAGAAGAATGAAGGAAAAGTTTAGAAAACCAACTTCTCTGCAGGAACATCATTAGCAACTCTTTCCTCAGGCTACCAAGCTAGGATTTTCTACACGGCATAAATCCGGAAAGTCAGCAAAGCAGGCAGGCATTGCCGGTGTACGTTCAGAAGCTTCCCTCAGTGCGTAACTGATGGCACGTCGTCGCGGCGCACCAGGACTCTAAATTGTCAAAGTCCAAATGGCCCAAGGGGGGCTGTTAGAGGAAATAGACATTTGCCCGGGATTACATGCTTTTCTGGAAAATAAACGAACACAACTACAAGGAAATAAAAAGAGGAGCAAGAGGACTTCCAGGGATGCAGGCAGGAGTTACTCTGCTGATAATGAGGATCGCATTTCCTCAGAAATATTTCAAGATTTTGCCGGAGAAAACCAAAACAGCGGGGACTGCGAGACAATGTCCTTGGCAGCAGAACCTCTGAGATAGTTCCTCAAAATGATGCGCAATCAAGGTAATAAAAAGACAGTAGGGAACCAATAATGGAGGAGAATTATCTATAACGATATATGGTTTGGTAGGAACATAAAGAATAATGGGGGACAGTGGATTGTTTTTCTCGGCAGGGGGACTTACGTCTTTCGATTGCTGCTCTGTCGGGTAAATGAATCATACAATTGAGTTCCTTTTGAGGTTATCTGTTTCTAAATGTGGCTCTAAAAGTACAGCCGGTTTCCTTCATATCTTGGTTAATTGTATATAGCATCTATCTACTCTAGACAAGCTACAGCATCTAAAATTGAAAAGTATTTTTTCTAGCTGTGGAGGTAAAGGCCTAAAATCAGATACGCTAGAAGCGTTGAAGCAAAAGGCACTGCAGATGGAAGATTTACAGAGGGTTTTACATCTACGTTTGTATACCTTTGCAATCGACAGTTAGGTAGAGCCAAAGGCTTTAGCAAAATGACGGAACGTGGAGCGTTCCTACCATTCAAACATCAATATTTACTTTGAAATGTCTTTCTTCCGGGGAACCATTAGCTTCCCAGTGGGGGAATGTCCCTTAACGTAAGCCCACAGCTGCAGATCTATCAGGCGTCTCCATAGCTTCCTGAAACACTGCTGCTGCCACGCTTGGAAGATCAGGCAAGAAACACGGAGATTGTCTTCCACGCGGAATAGTGGACCATGCAGATTGCCGGCAGTGATAGGGGTTCTGTTACTTACCCGGTACATTAGTGGATCGCAGGAATAAATAACCTAAGTTAAATTGGCTTGTGTCTACATGTATCGAGTTTGATCCAGACATAACAACGTTTGGTAGACGTGATTGATCCCAGAATGTAACATGGTCGCCCTTGCCTAGAACTTCACTGACACAACAAAAGTACAGTGACTTTCGTGAGGCCTTACACTACACGTCGACATACAGATACGTCCCACAGGGTACAGTGAAATTAACCTACGTACGCTGTTAATGTTGTTTTAGTTAATTTGATAGCCAAGTCTGTATGAATTCTTCTGTCACTCAAGTCCATTTTTTTACTTGGCTAGACGCACTGTAACTTCCCAAATAGTTGTGTTTGACAAAAACCCTACAGGTACCAAAGTTTCCAGCTGACCTAACGAAGCCTCTGAACAGGAGGTACATGGCTTGTGCCTAAGTTTTGGCAAAAACCATTAAGCTTTCATCTGCCCGATCAATAACTCGCCGAGCTATTAGTAATAATTTATTGATCGTTGGAAGAAAAAGTACTCATTAGGTAGGGTGTGATGTAAAGCATGTATATTTCATCTCACAAGCCAGCTTGGAACCAGTTGACATACACGTCAATACCATTCGGTTTAACCTATATTACTCTCTCTTTTATCTGATAATAATATACAACGCATTAACTTGACTGCTGATCGGGGCGTGTGGTCGACTGTCCTTCAGCTGTACATTGTAGACCACCCAGCTGTAAATCACAGCCTCGCGTCTACACTACCGTCAAGGCGTCACTTGAATAGCATAACGTCCATGTATATAGAAGGAATGTCTCACTTAGTCACACCAGTACGGAAAATGGCTACGTTCTTACTCAGCATCAAATAAATAGAATTATCGAGACGGGTAATGTTAACCCAGAATGACTCGACAAGACGTTACTCAAGGCCTATAACGTCGATGGGATGAATGTTTCACTCTTTTATGTATTTACGTATCAGTGTCTGGGATATGGAACATGTGCCTGACGCAAATACATGATGATTCAGGTCACTTGCACCACAAGAAAGCCAATAAAATGGATCGTCCAGCCAGCACATCTAGCTTCACTTAATCACCTCCATCCGTTTAAAAAACGGTCCCCGAAGTCTGGGTTTCCAAGAAGCTGACCAGTGAGATTTAAACCTGTCTACTCTGACCACAAGCCGGCTGGACTCTCCGATTTTTTTCAGGGCAAGTTGACCTGGACAACCATGTAAGAATGACTTTCTGTCAAGCTCACTCGCCCGCCCAGAAAAAATTGTAACAAAATAACCAAATTCATCAACACATCAGGAAAAATAAAAGGCGCCAATAACAAAAATTAAAGGCCCTGGTTCTTTATCTATGAGGGAGGGCGACGCTTTCGTACACACTAAGGCATATTCACCCGGCTACTTGGCCATTTTTGCCAACAACATCGACTCACCAACACTTTTCAACGTTTTTGGTGCACGAAAGGCCAACCATTTGAATGATGACATACAAAAAGACGACAAAAATTGAGACCCGCCGCCCTCTCCAAACCTCACACCTTCTGACGGTCTGACAGAAGACACACGACATACCGATCATTTGTATCCATCCGCCGAACAGCTCTAAATCATGGTAAAAAAAAACATTCACCAAACGGATTTTATCTCCATTATTATAAACTAACTAACTAACTATAGTATTTTTTTCTGAAATAACATGGTTATTGGTATATATCCGTGCTCTAATGTATGGTTTCGTCTAAAAATGACACTACTTTCTGTCACTTCTATAATATTTTGGGCTGGGGGAAATAAGGCACACAGGTGCAGAATATTCAAAGGGTGTGCATGGGGAGTTCTAAACATTCATATCACTGCCAGCCGCTCGGTATGCATGATCATGTGAAATACCGATGTCCTTGGTTTTGACAAGTTTACAACTGACATGAATGTTTTTTTTTTCAGATTCATATTATTCCTAACCCCCTAATGGCAGAGTGCATTTTGTCTTGTTTTGCTCCAGGCACACAGTGGTATATGGCAGAGTGTATTTTTTTCTTTGACACTTCTTAGACTACTAGAATATTTTGAATATAGATGCTTCGGGAACAGATTTGTATGATACAAGAATGTGATGCCCGTGGGCACGTCCGGGGTTGTCAAAGTGTAAACTGTAACAACAGAGGATGGCACCCAGGCTAATCATGTTTACCGAATTCGAAGGAAAACATGTGTTTGGCTCTGTTTTCTTCTTCTTCTCCAAACTCAATAAAGTCAATGACCTGAATCAGACGTCTGTCACCTTAGTAACTAGTGTTGGGTTACATCATGTTGCACTTTTATAGCAAGAGGGATTTAGACTCCTAACCATATAATAATATGAATGTGTTACAGTAAGAATGTGTAATGTGTTTCAGTAAGAATTATCAGAGCAGACCATATTTGAGGGTAAACATTATGCGTTTGATTTGTAAATGTTACCTTTCTAGTTAGAAATGGTCTTCAACACCTATTAAAGGAGTGCCATTCATACATTACAGATGGCTACACCACGAGTGAGGTGACGTACGACTGGAAGAACGGGAGTGCCTCGGTACAAGGTCTGCTGAACCTGGAACTGTCACAGTTCACTCTGGTCAGCTACGACACGGTACTCACCAAGGAGGTGTACGAAACTGGTGAGCTCTATAATCTTGGTCGAGCGAACGTTAACTAATGGCATTCGTGCATGTGTCGTAAAATTCAGCTGTCGTATATATAGGCCCATTTCCCACTGGGTGTTTTTACCGTAACATATCGTATCGTATCGTTTCGACGACTTACGATTACCGAATGAGGTATAACCTGAGGACGAAACAACGAACTCCTCAAGAATGTTTAAGAGGATAAACTCACAAGTTCATGTTCTTTTGTTCTTTCAAAATTCAAAGCAAAATGACACTACTAGTACTAACAGCTTCTCATCTTGATCACATGGTTCAGATCAGAATAGTTCAGAAATGTGGTAAATTTCATTATACTTTTCCATCGAGTTTTTAGGCTCATTAACTCTGAACAGGGAACAAGAATTCTCTTAGCTCTTGTTATATGCAAAATAAAGGCCAAAAAGACTAGGCCTTTGTGTAAAAAACTTAAAGACTCTAGATTGAAAGAGGCAACTGAATATATTAGTTATCTCCTATTCCTGTCCCACAAGTTACTTGCTCACTTCTAAATAATTCAAACCAGCATGTTTTCTATTGTATTGGGATGCGTTTATCACTATGGCCATTAAGTACTGCTCTGTCGAAAGCTCAGTTGGAACTAACAATTACGTCCATTGACTTTGGAGATCAGATCGGGTGGACGTAATAGTGCGATAGGGAATGCTTGAATGAACACTTGTGTTAACCAATGAACACTTCAGCCATTTAGAGTTTCCACTACGCTCTCTTCAATGACCATTAGGTCAAATTTTCCCAATGATTGGTCCCAACGAGCATTTTATGTAAAGATCAGTGATTTTTAATGGTGAACTTGTGCCAATACCTTCCCCAGAAATATTGTCAAGGCCTTTTATGCGTTCTCTACGGGTGTCGCCCTCTCCAATATCTCAATTGAATGTTGAAGGTATGAATAGAAAAATATTGATTAAGTCTGCACATTGGTGGAGTCGTAATGTCAAATGCTCTGTGGGGGTATGAAAGCGATGGAATACATTGTAAAGAAAATTCAAAGTATAAAAAGAAGTTAATTCTAGCATGAAAGTTCATGTGAGTTGGTAAAATACATGACGAAGAATTAAACTGTTCTCCAACTCAAAAACGAAATTAACTCACCAGAAATTTTCGACTTACTCGCTCAGTACTTGGGTCGTAAAGCTGATGAAGACTGAGCAATTTAGTTAAAAATTTCTGGTGAGTTAATTTTGTTTGTGAGTTGGAGAACAGTTCAATTTTCTTCAAGAAGTTAATTCTTTGTGGCATGTGGAGGGGTTTAAAGTGTTTTTGTCACAAGAGAGTTAATTTTAACAACTTCTGCAAATGTTTTAACATGATATCGTTGAAAAGATTCATTTGTCACGTATAGATACAGTTCCTAGTGAATTCTTTCATCAGTGACAACTTTGGAAGGATAAGGATACTAACCTCCAAATTTTCGATGGCTATCAGTCCATCTTGTTCACGGAGTGGCCTAATCTCGCGAGAGTGCGAGACTAGGCCCGAGACTTGCCTCGGTCTGTCGGAAGGTGCCAAGCTGAACCGAACAGAAGGTTGGGAGCTCCCCAAGACTTACTTACCCCTACTTCGGAGGGAGGCGGCGGGGGGTGGGACCCGACAGACCGAGGCAAGTCTCGGGCCTAGTCTCGCACTCTCGCGAGATTAGGCCACTCCGTGAACAAGATGGACTGATAGCCATCGAAAATTTGGAGGTTAGTATCCTTATCCTTCCAAAGTTGTCACTTATGAAAGAATTCACTAGGAACTTTAACATGATAATTTTGAACACCGACAAACTTTACGACAAGTGTGGGCCTCTCCCATGGGTGGAAGCCGCATACAGCGCTCTTAAACATCACGGCTTTTAGGATTAGGACACAACTTCGCTTTGTTATCTATGAGCTATTACGCACCAACATCCATCATCCGAACCCCCAGGCAAACCTCCCCAGCAGCTCTGGTTGGTTGTGTCACTAAAGAGTGCTTTTGTGGTGATAAAGATACGTCCTAAGCACGCAGAGGACAACGTCATCCATCACAACTACACAACTTCCAACTCAGCTACTTACCAAGGATTTTTACAAGTCCCTGTTGTAGCTTCCGTTGTTATTGATGTGTTATGCACTCCTACAAGTACAAAGCTTCTACCCGGCAATTTTACCTAATAGTAGCAACAAAGGCTTACTGAGATTGCAGTTTTTAACGTCTGCCATGACAACGGCTTACTGACTATGCAGTTATTAGCGTCTACCATGGTTATCATACTGAAATAAACGTCCGTCATTCGTTTATAGATCCGGAGCTGTATAGAAATGAGGTTTTTATCATCTACACTGGGCTTGTGAATCATGTAGGGCTGAGTATAAACAAATTGCTATTTTTTCTCCTAACACCATATTTAGATTCTATTTTTGTCATTTTTTGGCATAATGATTGCAGCGTAGGTGATAGTAGAAAGATGTTCAGATTATGACGCAAGAAAGAAAAAAGTTCCAAAGTGCGCTGTTGTATGTTATCTCTGTGCACCAAGCAGGCACAAAATCCTCCAGGCTATACCCCTATTTATTAGTCATTCATTTCAATAATCACCAAAATATCTAAAAAAAAAGTCTCCAGGTACGTATACAGCCCCGGGTGCATGTGGTAGGTATATCATACAGACCACTGTTTGATATGCTCGGTGATGGTGTTTAAATCCATGCATGACGCCGGCAGTGATATGGTGCTTGATCAAAGCATGACGCATGACGACCCATGCTTTTAGGTAGAAAAACGCAAGTTTGGCCATGGCGACGACATGAAGAACTCTGCAAACCGTGTTTAGAGTCAGAGAATGAACAAAAAATGAACCTCTTTTGTGTAGTATCATCAATATTTAGTATAATTTGTGCAGAGCTTTCCGTGAATAGAAGTAGACACCCAGCGCAATGTCAGGTTAATGAAACAAGTGGGTAAATAACTATAGACTGAACTTTGGCAACCAGTGGGGCCGTGTGGCGTAGCGGAGTGCTCGACTCGGCACCAAGAGGTCCCGGGTTCGAGTCCTGACATGACATGCCACCGATCTTGTGTCCTTTGAAAAAGGCACTTAACACGTTTTTCCTCACTTCGCTGAGGTGAAAATGAGTGTTGTATTGTCCCCTGTGTTGGTGGCGGCATTAATATAAGTTGAAAAAACTCGAGTGTGCCGTCTTGTGACTACATGTTGGAATAAAAAAAAACTTCGTCAACGGCACATACTAGGATACCAATATCTGTTCCCTAAACATTCTCGGAAGGTAACAGGTATAAATTCCCGGTAGTTAAGTCTCCTAATCGTCCTGCAATACCACTGTTGGTGATTGACGACTTCACTATTTGTAGCATAACCGCTGCTGGACGTAATATATATCATCAATGCCTTCAGACAATTGCAAAAAATATACTCCTGCGACAATCCATAAATAGTAACACTTACAGAAAGTACAGGGGCCCCTCGGCTGTGGGGAGCAAGATAAGCGTGCTGCCAAGAAGTTTCAACCAAGAAGTAATCATGCAGTTAATAATGCTAAAAAGTCGTGAGAAAATCATTTAGGAGCTACTGTTGCAACAGGAAACATTAGGACTGCCAGGAGGTAGTAAATTAACCCGGACCCTTCTATTATACTCTGTCGTCACGCTGTCTATTGTGTTATTACTGTCTTATTCTTTAGATCCACTTACAAATGTGCTTGAAATATAGATAAGGAACGAGTCTATCTAAGAGCATACTACATAATTGACGATATCTTTCTTGACATGTTGAAGTATATCTTAACCTATTAGTAGTAGTTTTAAACATGTTTGACGTGAAACATTTAGTTTTCAGTAAAATATGAGCGGGAAAGTGCATCAAATCGAAGAAGCAGTACATGCATGCCTTAGTAGATTAAATTCAAACAAGGAGCTTAAAAAAGTACTTTGAATTGACAAAGAAGTTGCTTAATGCCAAAGCGCTGTCATGGATGAAGGGCGTTCTTGTAAGCTCCTAGCGGATCTTTCTCAAACTACATTACACTGAAATTAGCCTACCAGAGAAAGATATGCCTAGCCTATATTCCATGATCCAGGCTTTGCAGGAAAACGTAGCGTTCTTTCTTTTTCATATTCCAGATACTTTCAACAAATCCGGCAGGTAATTGTGAAATAGCCCAGTTTGTGGCACTGAAGTGGTGCTCATAAACATTTTAAAGGTCGAGGTCGTAGGTGCACAAAGCTGCTGACCTGTACAGACAGAGCTTGCCTGTAGGGACACCGACTGTGTATGATGAATAGGTCAGGGTGTACATAGGTACAGCGACCTATTTGTGCAGATGCGTGTTGATACTTTTGATGCGGCCGAAAACTGCTATATTCGTTTGCCTCTCGCTTGATGGGGTCTGAGAACGCTATCATCAAACTGTTACTTCGTTTGGAGGCTTCCTATAGCCTGTTCTGGCGACATTACTGTAAGGATGCCTTTTTGTGGCAGGATAGCCAATTTAATCAGAACATACTTCTATGCTTTTTTTTAGATGTATTTGTGCCATGTTGTGTATGTATGTCTGTATACACTATGGGCCATTGAGCCTGAAATAAGCAATAAACAAAATAAATAGGTACGCTTACTCACACAAAAATTCCTGCAAAAAATGTAGCCTTGATATGATGTTGAGTATTATTATGAGCAGCATTTTATTTACGGACGAATTTGGATTCCTTTCTGGCTCAACACGCTGTGGGCTCACCATATCTGGTACGCGGTCGGCATGTCCTTCAAAATCAATTTTTGTGAATTCTATTAACTCTTGTCTGAATCCCCTGACGGAAAGTCCGATTAAAGCGCTCAAGTGCGGCGTATCCTGGCGCCACTCCATAAAACTTGCACAAGTGGTGCATATATGGATGCATGTGGGACTTAGGAATAAATTTATCGGGGAGGGGGGAAACAAAAGATTCTGGCACCATGACAAATATAACGACGAACAGGAGCAAAGGACGTCATAGACGTCAGGTGGCCGCTGTTTCCCTGATCTACAAAATGCACATGTCCACATGCCCAGCAGACGTGATACAGATGCTTCCCCAACCTTACACAATCAGACGCACAACCCGCAGCAGTCTCTCCACAGGAAAACATGCCCTCACCGTGCCGGTATCTAGAACTCACGCCACCGGCAGAACCTTCATACATACACACCTGGAACAGTCTGCCAGACAACGTGGTCGGCCTGATCACTGACAACAGCCTCTAGTCATTCAAAACAAGAGTACACCGGCATCTTCATTCTACCACCAGGACTTCTGCATGTAGCTAGAGCTTTGCAACTTTGCTGTAAACCAATGATTAGCCAGGACTGTTACAACCCAGGCTATCATTGTTTACATTAGCACATGACAGAAGAAAAAGGACACGTAAATAAAGTAACGTTTTCTGAACCTTGTAAGTGACGGAGTGCATAGATGAAGTACGTAAAAAGCTATTGCCAATTTAAACTGTCTATTTTGTTTTTACAGGCACCTACGCACGACTGTCCTTCAGTTTCCTCCTGTGCCGGAACATCCTGTACTTCATCCTGCAGACGTACCTACCCGCCATCCTACTCGTCATAGTATCATGGGTCTCCTTCTGGATCAACCACGAGTCTGTGCCGGCCAGGATCGCACTGGGTAAGATAGATTTCTCTTGACTTCTTTAAAAACTACTAAACCTTGTCCTGTTGGCATTTTTACACAGTATTTTCCAATTATTTCATGTCTTAATCAGGTCATAGGCCCCTGACTTTTTTTGCCCTACGGTGGCATAGTTACTTCCGCATTCGTTACGTTTCGCTGCGGTGTGATGCATTGCAAAGGAAATACCCCCCAAATCGTACCTATACTGAGTGCTATATGGATGGTACTGTATGTGCAACCCAACACTTTAAGGGCGCCGCAGGACCAGGGTTTTAAGACAATGAGAAAGGCAGTGAGGGATTCAATAAGCAGAAAAGTTCAAACGATGTGGCTTGTAAGATGTTGTCTATCAACACCACCTAGCGACAGTGACTTTGCCAACAGGTCAAGGTGCAGTTACGATGCAATCTTCGAGGTGGCGCTTTGCACGTAATGCCATCAAACTGAAGTATCAGTTCCTACTTCCCATTGGATACATGAAGGGCTGGCATGCTACATATGCTATGCTACGGTACAGCAAATTACTTCATGTTAGGACGAAAGATAAAAGAGCAAGCGTACATGGAGCAGTTGGTACAAGATGTCATTTGTTCCTGAGCTGCACATACCACATTACGGAATGTCCTTTAGTTTCCTTCTGTGTAATACCAATGTAAACTCAAAGGAGGCGCTGTTTTACTATCCAGGCGTGTTGTGAATGAGATTGGGGCGCATGGTTGAGTTTCCAACAGCACTGCTGCCACTAAATTTACATGTTATGCGGTATGGAAAAATATACAAGACATACGTTAGAAACGCAACTGTACCTGGAATTGGTGGAAAAGCTTTCTGATATCATTCTTCCCCCAAGCGAGAACATCACGGTTACGTACTTTACTACCCATTTTCCCAGTTTAAGTGGTTCTTGGTAAGTACTTTCTGGCAAATTACTGAACTTGTGACCATGCCTAGAAATACATGGGTACTAAACACTACCCTTAGGTAGTAAACACGCGTGTTGCAGGTGGTTTATGGCAGATTGCTCGTGGCCATATCATCACTTTAATATCACCTGCCAACAGGAATCACCACCGTGCTGACCATGACCACTGTCATCACGGGAGCGAAGTCTTCCCTCCCCAAGATCTCCTACATCAAGGCCATCGACGTGTACCTGGGGATGTGCTTTCTCTTCACCTTCGCGGCCCTGCTCGAGTACGCCGCCGTCAACTTCGAGGCCAGCTCCCGCACCAGGAGGGAGACCAAAGGCACCAGAAAGCTCCTGCAGAAAATGAAGTCTGCAAAAGACGGCAAGAAAGAGGTAACGCTTATGTTGGAGAAGTTCTGGCAATGCTGATAACATTTCATGAACTTTAAAACGCTTCTTTAAAAGTCCGTGAGGCATACATTTCTTGAACTGTTGCCAGTTATTTTCTCCAGATATTTCTCAGAAGTTACAAGGGTCTTAACTGTAGTGATGTTGATCAGAATATTTGATAGTCATATCTGAGTTTCGAAATGTCATGTCTTGTGAGTAGGATTTTCGTCCACACTCTTCATTTACATTTAATCTGCAAGTGTTTGACTGAAAACGCAGATGTAGTTTAATGTAGTTTATTTTGTTCAAATACCAACTCAAAGACAATGTAACATTTAGTTATTTATTACAAAGATCCTCAATTGAATAATCAAATGGGTACATTTTTTTCAGTAATGTGTACCAATATCGGGAATACTAAGAAGGAGAAAATGTATTCTCTCTCTCGAAGTATAGATGTATGATAGATGCTGAAGAACATCGATACATTCAGTAAATTGGGCAATTTTATACCCCAGGGCCTGTCATTCAGCTTCGCATCCATACAGACATTAAAGCATTTGCTCAAGTAATCATTCATGCTTATTCAAGTTTATAGTAGATCCCAGGGGCAAAACGTTAATTTAACAGACATCTTTTGCGAGAATGATAGTCCTGTTGTCAGCCATGAGGCACCCTTGTGTCATTATTTGCCGCTAAAATGCACCGCCGGGGAACGATGGCAGTCTGCCATAATTTGCTAAAATTGAAACAGTCAATTACGTTCTGTGAAAGAATGGTACTTTACAAGTGATTTATCTTGCGACACTCTTCTGGGTAGGGTAGATCGCATAGCGGGGTGTACTAATCGTGACTTGCTAGTACTTTTTAATGACCAGATGGATTACTGGTTGATTCATGTAGCTCTTTGGCGTACCGCACATCCATCTTTCTTTATCTTGGCACGCAGGGTAATGAGGAAGGCACAAAGGCAAAGCGCTTCCCGCTCATGGCGAAGAGACAGACCGTGAAAGAGTCACCGAAGGACGAGCAGAGACCGAGCACGGAGAACAACCAGCCTGCCCCGGCACCCAGACAGGTGAAATGCAACCAGTCCTTAAAAAGAATCGTTCTGAGAACGGCGGCAGACCCTAACCATGTCGACCGGCAGCCGCCGCCCGAACCGCAGCTGAACAACAGCACCAACATAGACCAGGTCGAGGATCTGGGACAGACTGAAAACGGGCCAACGCCCGCGGCCCGAAAGAGACCCAACCTGCGGAAGAGGCCGACGTTATCAGATGTGGCCAAGCGAGTGGTGACCAACAGAAGCTTCGCTATCAAAGTAAAAGACGTGGCAACTATAGATAAATACTCCAGGGTTTTATTCCCGCTCACGTTTGCTTTGCTCAACGTGGCGTACTGGATAGGGTACCTGACATAGCAGGCGACGCCAAGCAGAACTGCACTTTGCAGCAGCCCGCATACTTTGTGCCACTTTTTTTACATGCGGGAGATGAAGCGTGAAATAGGATTTTATGACGGGGGCAGAAAAGTCCAGGTGCGACGTGCACAAGTGCAATATGCCGTCCCGATCCCGGCAGTCAGCGGGAACGACAAGATGCCAATTAGGCGTAGACGTCAGCGGAGTTCTGCTGGCGTCATCGGGCTCATCAACTGAAACAAAACATTCTTCAAACTTCCTCTGAGACAACTCACATTTGTCAAGGACGTCAATTTATACATATCATTAGACACGATGACGGAGAAAAAACTGTCTCTCTTACCAAAATAACTATTTGGAAAATCACCCATAGGATACCCATCCCTATTCTATCTTGAAACATCATTAGCGTGGAGCTCAAGTAACTGCTGCTCTTCTTCAGCGTTAGCGTGGAACTCAAGTTACTGCTGCCTTTGTTCAGCAAATATTGACACACATTTTGATACGATCATGTAAAAATGATCCTGGCACTTCACACCACTGTGTCTTTAAGTTTATAGAGGCAGAAAGCGTAATAACATTTTTTTTATATGACACCGGAATTATTTTCCATTCACGGCAAATCTTTGGCTGGTACATGGTAGATTCTGCAGAATTTGGCAACTCTTAGAAATGGTGACAAAAACTTAGATTCATGTCTGACAATGATGCATGATAAGTTGCTTACGCATTGTGGATCTTTAGAAACCTTCACCATAGTAAGAAATGGTAATGAGTCTACAGTTGTTGTTTCGTGCAATTTTGTAGTACATGAGATATCTACTTCCACACACCATAAACAGAAAAACTGTTAGTTACAAAATGTATAGTAAAGTCTGATACACTCTAGACAAAAAAACGTTGCTGGTACAGATAGGTAAAGCCTCTAGGTGTTGATGTGCCTTTGACAAGATAGTCGTGTGAAAGAACATTATGAGATAAAGCCTTTGGAACTTATTAATAACTTCTCCCCAAACAAGTTACAAGTTATGGTTCATGTACACAACGTTGACAGTTACAAATGTATACAACCTCCGGCATCTGTACAATTTGTGATCTTTAATTGTGACAGATGAGTTTGTTTGTATAATTATAACGGTGTAAGAATTATTGGCGACATCCCCTGTTACGTTATATTAGGAGCTTGCAAATTATCTTCTCGCTAATCATTTCTGATTGAAAATTACCATGTTTGTTTTCTTCATTGATGAATGTGCCATTCAATAAACATTAACGTGCCAAGTTGCTGTTTGCAGAATTCCTTTGGCACATACAATTATAATTCTCATATATCTTTAGGGTTATAAGGCAAAAATGATGCTAACTAGCATTTGAAATTAGTATCCGTTAGAGCACGTAGTCTAGAAGAAGACTAAAACTTGTATGCTTAAGCAGTATTTTTTCAAAACGGAAAGACTGAAATTTTTACGTTCAAAACAACCTTTTTATTACCTCCTGACAAATAGAATGCATAACTAATAATGTTACTATTTTTATCTGTGTGTAAATCAGTGAAACATTAGGAAGCTCGAGTGAAGGAGAGAATTGTGGTCTGTTTTTTTGAATCACACATAAAGAAGAGTTCCTCGATCTCATATCTTCGACAAATGATGTAAACCCTTTCTGTGGACGAAACATACATTTTTACTCTTTGAAAATAAGAGTCTCATTTGCATGAATCAGATGAGATAACAAAATCGAAAGTTCTGCTGCAGCACCAAGGAAAGCTGCCAGGGGGCCGAAAATCTCATCAAGACCTACCAACCTACCAAGTTTCATGACAATGCATATAAAGCGTCTTGAGTTATGCTACAAACAAACAAACAAATAAACAAACAAACAAACAGACAAACAAACAAACAGACAGACAAACGGACAAGCGCTACTGAAAAGGTAACTTTCTTGGCGAAGGTAAAAAGAATCGAGGTCCAGAATGGCACTGTCTATTATTGAAAGATCAAACGAGTGTTTCTTCGGGCTACTTATCATAATAACGATTGACTGTCGAGAAATGACATTGTCTACATTAGTTTGCTCTGTCTGATTTTCCCTGCACGTACAAGAAGACCAGCATCAATACTGACCTCGGGGCCAAGAGCTCTTGTACGTACGTGCTCGTTATTTCCATTTCGTGAGGCGGGCAACTTGAGGGTCTGGCCGCCGTTCGAAGATTTGATCAGGTTCCGTACAATCGTGTGTGACCGATGTGATTGCGCAAAATATCTGCAACCATGTCACAAATTACTTCGGGGGCAGGGAATGATTTATCGTGTGTCTATTACAAAACGTGACTGGGAATGAGAAACTATAAGATTGAAGATCGACTTGTAGACAATCCTGTCAAGGAGTAACATCATATACACTCCCCTTGCATGAAATATGTATCATCAACATCCTGATGTGTGTTATTACAATTTCAAACCCAAAAAGTTCATCATTCAAGCCACATAGCTTCACAGTTAGGCAATAAGTAATCAACTGCTATGATTTTGTCCAAGTGCTGTTAGAATGTCTTAAGCTTCCTTTTGATCCAATATTACATGCAGTAAGTCAACGATTATGTGATTACCTGTAAACAGATACTTAGCAAACTCATTCCAAAAGTTGGGTGAAAAATTCTTAACTAATAGAGAAACCAGATACCCACCGAATGTATTAAGATTCGGAACCCTAAACGCCTAATAAGATAAACTGTTTCTCTAATAATTGATAATTGTACAACAATAGGTCTGAATAATGATAACTACATCCTGCCACCTGTGGTAACAAATAGAATTACATGTAGAATGCATTTGATTATTGGCCAAATGCCAGCATCCAAACGTATGGGTACATTGAACACTTTTGTAAAATTTAGAAAAAAAGATATCTAACAAATGCCAGTGACTTTTAACATTCCACCAAAATTTATAATGAAACAAAAGTTACATTTACAAAACTGTAATGTCTTTAATGTAGTTCAAAACTTAATTTACCGTACAGGTAGATTCTCGTAATTGATAGATCATCAATTTGTTTAAACTCATTTTCCTTTTACCAACTTGTAATTATGTATATATTTTGTCATTGTGTTTTACTTTGTTTTTATGTTTTTGAGTAGAAGGCGTCACATCAACAATCTGTGCTTTTTGCCTAATACTCAATGAATATATGTGAATAAATAAACAGTGAAGAAGGAAAGAAGAATAAAGCAACAAAGTATAAAATGAGAAACACAATACAGCTACAGGCAATTACATTTCCATTTTCAACTTAACTCTCTGTCTGTCCCATTTCATCAGTGTCCCCATTACACAACAATAAATTAATGTTGGCAGTGAACAGCTACACGGGCATGAATTGCTCCTGCCCGATGGCCCATTATAAGACAGAGCTCAAGCCCAGGGTAATTACGGAGAATCCTGCTTCCTTTGCGGTCCACTGATTACCCACCGTGAGGGGATCAGGTCCCGGCTGACCCATCCTGCAGAAATAAGTGGCTGCGTACGAGGTAATCCTCGCTCACAGGCGCGGACAGAAGCCGGATAATCCTCCCCTCAGAACCGAACCACTTCTGCAAGCTACAGTCGACAGAACGGCTTTCTACTCCCATGAGGATCAATTAGAACCCTAAGGAACTTTTTTTTCTTCTCTCTGCTGGTGAAACTAATTCACTCCCACTTGTTGCGAGGATTCGATCATTGGCCACGGACTCGTGTTGCAGTCAGAGACGTATCCACAGAAGACACGAAGATGCTGAAGAACTGCAAATACATTTGCAATATCCTTGTTTGACCTACGGAGGCCTTATATATTCATAGACTGTTCGCTGTTTGAAAAATTAAGCAAAATAAATAAAATATACTTTTGAAGGCCCACAAAGAGAGCAATACATTTCAGACCCCTCGGGTATTTTTACTAGTGATTTTGTGATTTCTGTTCTTCGCTGAAGTATTTTCTGATATTGTTACCGTGAAGACAACCCTATAGCAGGCCCCCAGAAGAAGACTTGCTGTCTGATTTCTAAAGATTACAGGATCTGAGGCTAGGTTATCGACCTGACGCCGGTTAAGCTCCGTAGCGTTGTCTTCAAATGAAAATTTCAGTCTTGCCATGAGCTATCATGCCATCTGTAAGCTGCTGTCTCTCAGGAAGATACTTCTGTCTATGTCCCCCATATATGGACTTACGTTAGCATAGAGGATGCAGAGGGTACCGTCTGATGTTTAATTCGATCTTCGTTGCAAAATCCATGGTGCATTGAATAGCTTAAGTTAGCGTTGTGAATAAATGCTAGCCTCCATAGGCAGATGGGTAGCATTACCACAGGCAGATAGAAGATGGATAGCAGGGCATGAACGACAATTTCAAGACGAGAATTTAGCTATCTGTAGACATGTCCTCACTAAAGTGGTCTGAGAGGTGAAATGTATATTTTGTTACCGCAGATAGATCAGGCCGATTTTTACATCGTTTAGGCGCCAGGATCTGCTTCACCGGTAGGCATGTAAGCTGTGTGCATATCCGTTTGCTTCAACATATTAGGAAATTGATGCCTATGGGTAGCCTGTGTATCCTACCGTGAAAGAGTTGAAATAACCTCATCATAAGTGTTTACTCTAGGGTTGCGGAAGTAAGCCTCGTAAAAACTGCTACAGGAAGGCAACGACTGATAAGAATGAGATTGCAACGTTTCGTTGAATATTTGTAATGCCACATTTAGGGTCGTTCAAGCGGTTCTGTGCGTGTCATAACACTAAATGCATGCTTAGCATGTAGTTTATGCTACCCATTATTGTAGAAAAACAGTTATTAGTTTGTTACATAGAGAATATTCAGCAATGGGCATTGCAGACGCTAAGCACTGCAGATCCATAGTTTTTCTACATTTGTTTATAAGGCACCACTGTAATCCGTTGTGGCAAGATCTAGAGAAACAGTAAGAAAATTCTGTCGCTCAATTTCCATTTCTCTACACCTACCATTGGATAAATTTCCATATAGACTTATCCATGAAAAATTGGTACTATTTTCAGAAAATTGTCGCTACCTCACAGCTTACATAATTTATATTGCTGCATTTATAACTGGAACAAGTTTGCAACCGAAACTTTTTTTATAAAACTCGAATTGTAACGTTCTGCACGATAATCAACAGCAATTAAGCAAATTTAGCATTTTTTGTGCAATTTCCTTTTGTCTACACCTACCATTGAATACATTTCTGTAAAACTGGAATGTTAACTATCTGCACGATAATCAACAGCAATTTAAAAAATTGTGCAATTTCCTTTTGTCTACACCTAACATTGAATACAGTTCTATATCTATACAGATTTATCCATGAAGAATTGGTACTATTTTAAAGAAAATTGTCGCTATCTCGCAGCTTACATAATTTACTTACTGCATTTATAACTGAAACAAGTTTGCAACCGAAACATTATTAATAAAACTGAAATTTTAACAATCTGCACGATAATCAACAGCAATTAAGAAAACATTGAGCATTTTTGTGCAATTTCCTTTTGTCTACACCTACCATTGGATACAGTTCTACATGTAGATTTATCAATGACGAATTGGTACTATTTTCAGAACATTGTCGCTACCTTACATAATTTATATTGCTGCCTTTATAACTGGAACAAGTTTGCAACCGAAAAGTTATTCATAAAACTGGAATACCAATCTGCACGATAATCAACAGCAATTAAGAAAATTCAGCATTTTTTGTGCAATTTCCTTTTGTCTACACCTACCATTGAATACAGTTCTATTATGTAGATTTATCCATAAAGAATTGGACTATTTTCATAAAATTGTCTCTATCTCACAGCTTACATAACGTACATTGCTGCATTCATAACTGGAACAAGTTTGCAACCGAAAAGTTATTCATAAAACTGGAATAACAATCTGCACGATAATCAACAGCAATTAAGAAGAAAATTCAGCATTTTTTGTGCAATTTCCTTTTGTCTACACCTACCAATGAATAAATTCTATGTAGATTTATCCATGAAGAATTGGTACTATTTTCAGAAACTTGTCACTACCTCACAGCTTACATAATTCATATTGCTGCATTTGTAACTGGAACAAGTTTGCAACCGAAACATATTATTCATAAAACTGGAATAACAATCTGCACGGTAATCATTAAGAAAATTTAGCATTTTTGTGCAATTTTCTTTTGTTTACACCTACCATTGAATACAGTTCTATATGTACATTTATCCATTAAGAATTGGTACTATTTTCAGAACATTGTTACTACTCACAGCTTACATAATTTACATTGCTGCATTTATAACTGGACCAAGTTTGCAACCGAAACATATTATTCATAAAACTAGGAATAACAACCTGCGATTACATTCCGGACACGTCGTACGTCTGATTTAACCATGGCTGTACCTGCGAGCTAACTCAGCCTCATTGGTCCTTTGTGACCACGGCACGCAGGATCTGGAGAGCGGAAATTGTACGGGGTGGTCAAATATTCTCCTGGGTGTTCTGCTCAATTAAAGGATGGCTCCTCGGCAGGGACTGCCTCGGGCTTGCTGCTACTGTTACACGCCGTGCAATTGCACATTTCCTACATCAAGGCTGCCTGAGTTTATTCGAATGGATAGGCCAATTAACGTGTATATCTACCTACTGGATGCAGACAGTCTTTTTTGTTCGAGTGTTCAAGATGTCGTGGAGTAGACAAAAAATAATATATAATACTTTGGACAACGTTTATGCTAAGGTCACATTTCCAAACCGGAGCCCGGCCGGGCAGTCTTTTGGAACGAAAGTATGATTCAAAAGACAAGAAACCACAAAAAAAGTTAACAAAATCATTGGTGGGAACTATCTGCGTATATTGTTGATATAAATTGTTGATGTTTCGTTAATAAAACAGCCCGCCCGGGTCCCGGGTTGGATATGTGACCTTGGCATAACCTGAATGGATATTGTATTACTTGGTTTATGAAAAAATAACTGATGTACAGTAGCGTATTGTACCGGTTTATATTGCTGCATTGTCTCATGAGAAATACTGCCCCATCTCTACATTGCAATGAAAAAAATAAAATCGATAGAGCTGCCATCCCGGAGATTGTATTCTTATGCCAGTAACGCAAAATCGTAAACTAATGGCATTAAGTCTGACCATGATAGCCTGTACAGCTTATCGGTACTAGCACACTGAAACAAACTTTAAGGCAGGCAGACATCACAATATGTGATATTGAGCTTTGATTTATTTTGATGGCCGACTGGACTTTTCTGTTCGGGAACACGGTTGTTTAGGTTCACAGTATATTAGTTTATGTCATTTAATATCGGATACAGTTATTAACGACATAAGAAATTATGAAATCTAAATTGATATGGTAGAATCTGAATTTTGAATTCAGTGTGATACCTTTTAAGATAAATGATTAATTTTCGCGTATACTGGCCCCTTTCACCAGCTTCACCTGAATCGATAAACCAGGCTGACTCTTCCGTCCAACTCGGGGCCTTTCTAGACTTTTGCCCTTCAGTCCGGACGGCGATATTACCGCAGGATGAAAGGAGATTAAGTCTCGGTGAGCACGTTTTGTACAAAGAGTCAAACGCTGATTCTCTCTATCCATTTCTGTTGCCATGAAAGGTTGTATAATGAGATTGCGTCTGTGCTGCCGGGAAAGGCCAAGGAAAGATCGCGGAGGGATGTCCAAATGAATGGATGTGAAGGTGCCGACACAGCACACTGACTCTTCCTGGCGGTGTGTGAAATGTCAAAGCTTTCCATAATGCTATCAGTTTGAACTGGTCGGAAATGAGACGGTGAAAATCAATGGGCATCATTTTGTAATTCGGCACCACGGACGGTAGTCCTTGTAGGGGCTAGTTATGCATGAAAATTTACCTTGTGTGGCACGGTCTGGTTTCTACGCCATTTATCATCAATTGCCGTTCAGTCAGGAGCTTGTGGAGAAAACTCTTCTTATACAAGACGTAACATGGAATCGCGCTAGCTTTCGGGTTTGAATATAGTTTTAGTTCAGTGTTGTACACTGCGAATACCAATGAATCCATCTTGCATCTTGAAAAGTTTAAAAAAATATAAAAATAAATCCATAAACCAAGGCACCCTTGAGATTTTACAATAATACATCTTACAGCTATAGCAATCACAAAATATTTGATAGATGTGTTTTTCACAGCTGCAAATTAATTTGTACTTATCCATCTATCAAACTATTGGAACTAGGTCAAAGTAAAAGTAAGACGGGTTTCTGGTAACTAATAAGAAGGATGATTATCACCAAATAAAAAAAAAACTACTGCTCAAAACCGTCAGAGAACTCAAGCTTATAGTGTACAGTAAATTATATAACTTCTTTTGACACGTTCCAAGATAAATGACAAAACACGTATTGGGTAAAAGCAATAAAAGCAGCAAAGATGAGTATCACAATCGCTATTCCTAGTAAAGTGCATGTAGAAATACAGTGTCTTTTGTCTTATTAATCTGAAGCAGTCACAACCCCGTAAACCAATAGACGACTGCCCGAGAGAATATGTGGTTGAGAAATGCTTACATATCAAACAGTTAAATCAGTCAATTCGAATTGTCTTGCAAAAGTGGATCGCTGGACCATATAGCGTTTCCGGACATCCAATAACAGTATGCCCATTGGGGCCCAAACCAATTTATATTGGGCAATTATAATGGACTTATGGATCCGAACCATTAACAGGTCATCAGTTACCACAGAGAAGTAATGGACGCCAGGTGTCAGACTGGCTGTAACATGATTTATTGCTTTCATTTCTAGCACAATAGATAAGTGTTTTCATACGCAGTTTATGACTTCAGTTTTGTGGCGTGGATTTTACTGGATAGAATGATTCATTTTTCACAGGACGGAACCTCTCGCTTATCGACCCTTCAATAAAAGTCAAGAATCCCCAAAAAGGTGTTATCCGGGCATCCATTGATTTTCTGAAGATAACTCTTATCCTCCTTTATCAGCTACAATATTGCTTGTCCACACCTTTTCTTGGCAAATAGGCGTTGGCTAAAATCCCTAAATACAAATCAAAAATGAAATTCTCGTCATTCTATCTTAGAGTGATCTTGGCACTTGTAAGCTCTCGTGTATGTCTTTTATGTCTACCCATTTCTCACAAAATGTTTTCGACTTTAAAGATTGTGCAGATAACCAGCACGTTACGTACGCCTTCAGCTACCGTCCTGTGTTTGAAGTTACAAGCGTTACGAGAGTTTCGTCATAGTTTTGACCATCAGATAAGAACACTTTTCAAAATAAATCCAGCTTAGTTCGATATTGCTTATGCCCTTGCCTTTCATGGCAGGATACAAGAGAAATGCTGTTGAAGAACTGACAAGGGCCATAAGAAGATCGATCATCGTTATGTACGGCTTTTGATGTTGGACTCAAAGTGGGCTGGAATGGTATACAATCAAGTGGGAAACACGGCTACTTCAGATCCATCTACACCGTTGTACACTTATGGCTTAAAAGCAACAACTGTACGTGGCCAGTAGTCGATCTGAGAGCTCAACAAGTAGAGAAGCACCGCGTGTAAAATCGATATATGGATGTGAGTCAGGTAAGTAGAGGCTGCCACGGGCACGTGATTGATACCGATGGAAAGGCCACATGCAGGCGACAGAGTGGACGTAGATAACATAAGTTATCACTGTGGTTGGTCTGTCCGTGACCCGTGATTTCGTCCTGACTCACTCACGTTACCAGATTGCCGCGGTGGTTGATGCCGGCCTGGGATGGGCTTGTGCTGCGTGCTGCTGCCGCTCCTGAGCCTGAGATCTGTGGGGAGTCAAGTGGAATTAGTCTGATAGCTTGGGCTGCAGCTGACTCCATCGTTAGTCGGATTACCTTATATCATCATGAACGGCAAAGGCATGTGCGAATTGCTTAACCTTTGCCACGCAAACGCTAAATCGGAAGAACACTAATGATGGCACTATTAAAACTGCACCTGCCCTTAATGTAACAAACAAGTCTAAAAACAGAAATGAATGGAGAATGAACACCGTAATATGCTGTACACGACCTCCTACTTCAATAGGCGCATCACATGGCAAACTTGATATAAATCACATCCACTTCAGACACTTCGAGAAAGGTATTTCTTTGAAGCTTGTACCGCACGTACAACATAAAACCTACCAGACGCACGCATATGCCACATGAATACGGTTCGATAAATACTGTTTCCATTGCAGGTATAAAGACTGTATGACATAGCACCTCGTGAAGAATTATTTCCCTTTGTTGCCGGGCAACAGCTCTCCACGGTGACCAGAGGACACACCTAATGGTTTTCTCTTCAGGCACACGTTAACAGGGTGATAAAACAGCTTGTAAGTCAATGTAACGTAACCGGTGTGGCGTAACATGGATGGCTCGCCAAAAGGCAGGGCACCGCGCCAGCTGACGTCTACTGCCGGGATCTCACCAACTGTCATAAATCCATTCAGGTCTGGTCGGGAAATGGGACCATCACCTGACAGGAAATTCGTTCTGCTCACTAGATTGTTTTCCGATAGTTCTGTGTTGGTTTCTTATTCTCTATCATTCAAATAATTTTGTCTTGGTGTTCTCTTGGTAACTTGGTCTAATACATGATTATATATTCTCTGGTAATTTAAAAACAATATTTTAAGTTATCTACCATTATTGTGCTGTGCCCGTCGATTTGAAAAAAAACATAAAGTTCATTGGGAAGAAGAATATGAAACAAATATATTTTAGCACGAAAGTTGCTGTTAGTTAGATGTTTTTGCGTTGTTTTGCTCACAATATCTGACTTGGCGTGGCGTCTTTTCGAAAGTTCCTTGGGCACGAGGATACAAAAAGAATTTACTTGTATTAGATGGTAATTTGTATAACATGAATAAGGTAGAAATAGCGGAAGATGAATCGCCTAAATTGTAGATGATTCACAGGCGGAAATATACCCACAGAAGAAATCCTCTCAGCCAGGATCCTTTTTACAGGAGTTTTCATTGATCCTGGGAATTAACCAACGCCAATTTCCATTGCCATTCAAGCGAGATAAAACACCTGTAAAGTAGTTATGGCATCACTTGTGAGGAGCATGTCGTTAGAAGCGCCCTTCCTGAACTGTAAGTCGCCCACGGAGATCCGCCTTATCTCCAGAGGTATTGTACGGCATTAACGGAATCGTGACTAGAGGCTTAGTAAAGCAGGGGAAAAGGTCAAGGCGTCGCCTGGATTTGCTCGCGGTTAGCTGCGTGAAGCCCGGAGGGGCTTTGTCAGCCTTGTTAGGCAGGTTAGTGAGGGGTATCTGTCGATTCTGGCATACGTGTATACATTAGATAGATACATTTATACAGAGTATATAACCTATGTCCACTTGACTGGTATCTGTCAATTCTGGCATACATGTACAAATTAGATACTATTAGATACATTTATACATAGTATATCACCTAGGTTCACTTGACTGGTATCTGTCAAGTCTGGCATACATGTATAAATTAGATAGATACATTTATACAGAGTATATCACCTATGTTCAACTTGACTGGTATCTGTCAAGTCTGGCATACATGTATAAATTAGATAGATACATTTATACATAGTATATCGCCTATGTTCACTTGACTGGTATCTGTCAATCCTGGCATACGTGTGCAAATTAGATCGATAGATTTATACATAGTATATCACCTAGGTTCACTTGACTTAAAATCGTCTGCACCATTATAAGCACTGAGACATTTATTTTAGCAATGGGGGATAGAAGAACGACGGCGATTAACAAATTGAAACTGAACATCAAAACAACGTACTTCATGGACGGAACTAAGTGTGATTAATCATTAGGTGAATTAAAATCAAAGCAATAATAAATATAAATTTTGAATAAAAGTAATGTTTTTATCACCATGTACATCACAAGAGAAATCCAGTGCATATAGATAGTAATCATACATGGATAATATCTTCGCATCGTCCTTCGGAACAAATTAGCATCGGGAAAGAATTGCCCATTATTTCCACTCTATTGATCTGATTAAATTGTTTTGCTGATGAGGATTTGGTGCTCGACCACGAGGAAGATAACAGTCGCACATCACACTCCGGTTGGTCGCCATTAATCTACCACTGAGTCAAATGGACTCTCCTCTGTTCCATTTCAGCAGGAAATCGAACTCAAGGCAACGACCTGTACCATGGAGAGGCACCTGTTGATGCCATCATCAGCTCATTGTTTCATGGGTTCAATTAGACCGAAACCTATTGAATACCACTGTGCACTCCTGCTCATCCCATCTCTATACACAACAGAATTCAATTGGCCTACTCGGATACACGTAGAAATGGATGTAACATGAGGGACAACGTGGGGGTAATGGGTAATCTCTCTTTACACGTACATAGAACAGCACGCTTGGATGACCAGGCTTTGCCTCGTTGGCGTTTGTATGCGGTAATCAGTCGTCACGGAATGGGATTAGAATTGTGCTTCCACGGGATGGTGATGGTACGTGTCCTGGTACACGTAGCAGCATCTGTCATTCATCAGTGAAATTGTATTTATCATAACATGTAAAAGTATTTAGTCTGTCTTCGTGACTCATATATATGTATGGGTAAAGATTCACTGGAGCTACCCATGGACGGCTAAGTCAAGTCAAAGCTACTTGATGTTGGCATTCGTTTCAGCATCTTGCAAGGTTGTTTTTCTTAATTCTTGTGCGCAAGCTAAAAAATCTACATCATCTCCAAAACTTAAACTCTTGTACACTCAGGTTCTTTCACGGTACTTTGTTACACGAAATTACAAAAATATTACAGTCCAAATTTGTTTCATACATTATTTAACGGATTATTTTTTGAAACTGAAATTCGAGTGTGATCCGTGTTGTTGAACGAAATGGCCAGATTCAAACGATGGTTCAGGTGTTCTGAGAAAAATAAGCCACACCACTCATACGTTTATTAGAGACAATTTACGGTCTAAAACTGAGACATGATTTCACATGTGCTTCGCAACCACTTGGTTTAACTTCTTGTATGACAAAATAGTTGCACTGTGAACCTTATAATTGAAGTAATTGGTATGTATAACAGCCCTTTCTCCACATCAGTGCAACGGACCGCCAATTCATCAATCAGACAGAACAAATGACCTGGTCAGATTAACACACTCTTCGTCTTACCAAGGGTTGAACTGGGCCCATTTCTCTTCAGAACACACTTACAGTAACTACATGCATAATGCATGGCCTTCCCAAGTTGTTTTCCTGTTTATCAGGCGATTTTGGTAAGCAATCATGGCTTTTTTATGTTGAAGAATTTTCAGGGCACTTGCATAGGGCAGACGTATTAAAAAAACTTTCTATGTTGGTACACTCACATACCGTAAGATGATAATACATCCATGTACGGAGGCATGCAGGTAGTAATTACTCATCAAAATAACACAGAAGATGTATGCCCATGGTCTAAGCTACATACCTGAGGTTTATGAGAGGGGCTGGTATATCTCTTTAAATCTAATTTCAGAAATACCAACGTGCCGAAGTAAGCTATTAATTTAATAGATATTTGTGGCTTATTGATGCATTTACAATTTGCATGGCTAGGTGAGACTTAACCAGGTAATACCTATCTAGAATAGGAATTTTACAAGCTTCAATAAATTTTAAGTTGCAGGCAATTTGCACATGATGTTTATTCAAATAAGCTTTCCTGCAGGTACCATGGACATCCTCCATGGAAATTATAAATGTTGGCATTGCCGCTACCTTCTCACGATTGTTTCTCCCGACAGGGCAATTTTTATCAGTAAATATGTGCATAAATATTCTGTGTAAACTGCCTGGTGCAATGAAATATTAAGGTCAAGCTATACATCATACCAGGTGATATGATGACGCACATGACTATAAGACGGATGTACTGAAGTGTACTTTCAGCGAGTTGTTGGCACTAAGGCACATTTCTCCGTAAAGTACAGTAACCGTAGATGCTCCTATGGGGGCGATATATTTTCTTTTAGTCGATGTACTCTAACGTTGAAATGTACATCAACAGACCGTAATGCAGAGAAAAAGAACACATTTCTATAAGATACGTATTGTTTACCCATGGCCATGTCCTTTAACTATTGTAACTTTATCTTGAAAACTCACGAGCTTAACCCAGAGTAAAAACAAGCAGTGATCCTCTGTTGTGCTGTATTTAAGCTGGTCCGTATGAGAACAAGATATCAGTTAAGCCATTTCCGCAGACTTCCTGTATGTGCAATCGTTACTTCGGATTGAAGAATAAGTCAGGCCCATGTCAGATACGACCGGTGCTTACAGTGGTATTAAGACGTGACATTGAGAGATGCTTGCCTGGCCCGTGACGTACGGGGTCCGCGAGAGAAACCGTTACACCATGTCCTGGTTGGCAGTAGATCGAAGAATGGAATAGTTACTGTTGTCTTTTCCAGTTAATAGAGTTCACGTTGGAGTCCCATTATTTATGGAGGCGCGTGTGTATGGAGACAGTAGGCAGTGTTTTCGTATTCCATTTGCGTTGTCATGTCGTGAATTGTGTTGCCTTGTTGGTATTTTTTTCTTCACCTGGCTTTTTGTGTCCAATGAGGGCCCAAATACATTTCACATAAACGGTCAAGAAAATAATGTATGTATACTACATGTAAAATGTATTACGAGTATCACCTTTGTGAATAATTTCCTCGGGTTGTTGAATGATTGAATCCCAAATTTTGCTATACACCACAATTAGTTTAACAAGAGCTGACGTTTCGATGACCGTCTTCACCACTGTGTTCACTTGCTGTTTTTTTTGTCAAACGATTGCCCAAATACATTTCACATAAACGGTCAAGAAAATATGTATACTACATGTAAAGTGTATTACGAGTATCACCTTTGTGAATAATTTCATTAGGTTCGTGAATGATTAAATGCCAAAGTTCGCTATACACCACAATTTGTTTAACAAGAGCCGACGTTTCGATGACCGTCTTCACCCGGTTATGACTTGCTCACTGCGTTCACTTGCTGTTTTTTTTGTCAAACGATTGCCCAAAAACATTTCACATAAACGGTCAAGAAACTATGTATACTACATGCAATGTGTATTACGAGTATCACCTTCGTTAATAATTTCATTAAGTTGGTGAATGATCGAATCCCAAAGTTCGCTATTCACCACAATTAGTTTGATAAGAGCCGACGGTTCAATGACCGTCCTCACCAGGTTATGACTTGCTCACTGTGCACCGAAGATATGTGTTATTGTATTATTACCACACCCTGGCAGTAGACGCGGTATATAACACAATTTGGCAAGCACGTATACTCATATTCTGAGGAAAATCATCTGCAGTATATGTGCTCATTGTGCTGTTTCAAATTCTCGCACGAACTCCAAAATGTGCACTGCTGCACTAAGGATGATTACCAGAGAAGGCTAACTCCGGGGCTACTTTTTCTGCCTTGTTCAATTACCATCGGATATGATCCCTTCTGTAACGGAATAAAAAGCAATATCCCACAGATCTCTTCGTAAACCTACCATACATCTAAGCTGTCCGCAGTAATATGATTACAATTCATAGACGTGCAAAGGGACATCGTGGGCACTTCCTTATATCCTCTAATGTATATACATACTGATAAACAAACTATTTGTCATTCGTATCAGTCCCATTTTTCGTTTTAAATTACAGTCATTTTAATTTGTCAGTTAGTAGAAAGAGGATCACTGAGTCTGCTTAAGAGGTGGATGTCAGTCGGTATTTCCGGAAAGTTGATTCTAATAAACATCTTAGTAATCCATATGCATGGAATACATCTGGCTGCTTACCTTCATGGAGTGAATTCATAAAAATAACGTGGAATTGTATTATTTCAAAGCCCACACACACCACCAGAAGATATACGAGGATGAATTGTCTTTGCATGGAATGTATTGTTTTTTGATTACATGTACATGCCTTTTGATTACATGTACATGTTTAAAATTTGTCAGGGATGTCCAATATAACACATTTCGATTTTATAATGAATATTTACTACAACCTACATAGACGGCCAATTTGCACGTACTACGCAAAAAAATGTTTTGATTAGTGAAATCGCATCTACATTGCATGAGATGTACCTTGTTTTCTGGTTTATATCAACTTATATCAACTGTAATGCACAGATTCATAATCGTGCAAATTTACACGACAACATATTAAAGATCATCAGTTTGAGAGTAGGAAATATGTTTTTATTATATATTTATACTATATAGCAATACATTATGGACAAGAACAATGTGACGTAGGCTTAAGTTGAAACTTAAATTTACCTCCATATGTAAGTATATATTTAGTTATTTAGTTTTATTTATTTGGTTTTGCACTTACAAATGAATGAAATGTAGCAATTGAAAGATAAATAGACATGCATGGGAGGGCCGGAAACCTGGTGGTTTATATTTGGCCCTACGCAATACTGCAAGATTAAAAGATAAATTACCATTATTACTAAATCAACCAAATTTTAAACAAAGAAGACCAAAATAGCAGGAAATAAACAAAAACAATTTGAAGAACTAATGAAGTGATACAAACCATCTATCTGAACAAGTAAAGAAAGATGAAACTAATTAGCCTAGGTATTACAAGCATCAGTACAAATATAAAGTATATGAGTAAGTTATCAAATCAACAAAACAAGGAAAGCAAACAAAATCAGGAAATGGTGGTTTGTTGATGTGTGATATCTCTTTTTAAGAGTTTTTGTTTTGAAACTGGGTAAGGAGGGATATGTTCTCGCAGTAAGGCTTAAATTGTTCTATATTGTCGGACCTCTAAACCTATTTCATCACACACATTAAATCACCAGATCCAGACTGATGGTTATTCATTATCATTTTGCAACTGTTAAGCCCACCGCTGGTCCTTTGTTCTTCACCTTTGATTAACAACAGGAAATCGAAACAAAGCAAATGCGCTAGAACTGACGATCGATGGGTCCGGAACTTTGTCATTTGGTAGCACCTCTTTGTCTTTATTACGTCGCTGTCTTTCCTGTCATAAGTCACAGAACTTGCCATATAAGGAAAGTCAGTAATATATCTTCAAGGTACCATTTGCTGAATGAATACGAAGAGCAGAATTTATGCTAAATAATTGGGCTAATAATTCTATGAGACCAATTATTTAGCATGGATTCTGCTTTTCCTCGTTTATTTGACAGGTTAGCGATGTTTTTCATTGAACGTGGAATGGATTAACTGTCATTGGTGACACAAGTGAGCAATGGCAGAACTGCAACTTGTATGACCCAAATAGAAGTTATTTTTAAAAGCAAGAGCCGTACTCTAATGTATTTATACAGAGTGCAGTACTAGTTGCCCCGCCACATGACTTGCATTTTGTAGGTTGAGTGCATTATTGACCAGATAGCACAGGTACTGCTATCCAGGACAACCAGAAGAGCATTTGAAATGACGTAGTTCAACCCATTTTCTGGGTCTAGTTTGATACTGCAGCAATAGCGATGGGTGGGAGGTGGTGGAACTGCCCGTACTAAGTGCTTGGTGATATATGATTTTACTACAGACGATCAGCAGTCCCATCCAACACGACCTAAAAATACAAAAGTAGAGCAATCGATTGCATGCAGATAACTCTTGATGTATTATTTTACACAAAGAGGACGTAGTGATACAACTATAAGATTATGAAATAAATACGGTGTCTATGTGGAAAAATATGCAAACACAACATTGATCAGAGTAAAGTTTGTATGACTCAGAACCACAATGTCACACTCTCTATGCATGTTTTATATAAATTCACGTGTTCATTTTGATTGTAGTGATGTTAATCTATTAGTCCACTTGGTTCACAGCTGACCCTTTGCCAAGGCCATGAACATAACTGGTGACCTTGTCCACATTTGTAGGGAATATTCCTCTCTATGAAATTAACTTCTCGTAATGTGATTTTCGGTCTGGTGAGTCAATGCCGAAATTACGTTGACTGGAAGTCATACTGGTGTGCAAATCTTATCAAACGATTCATTGATGGAAAATTCAGAAGACTTCGACCAAATAACCTACTGTAAGTATGTTTGAGGAGCCGTTTGAAAGTAAAATATTGCCTTGCCTTGTAAGATACAATATATTGTTGTTACTTTCCAGAGTTAACTATGATCAGAACAGTCATATGACGATTCTGAATGCCCGCCTGTTTCAACCGGCATACCACTCTTTGTTTGCATTATTAATATACATGAGCACACATCTATTTTCTTTTATCTCAAGTAAACACAAGGAATATACAGAATATTACATGGATATTGTTTCTTGCATCGATTTTCAACAAACATTCCAGTGACGTATAGACGATGTCGATAGAAAGCTGTCTGTAACATTTTTCAAAAGGAAGTAAAGTAGAAACAGATACAGTAAAATGTTGGGGTGGTTGGGTTTAGTTGGCAATGCGGGGTAGTGCTGCCCTACTTTTTTGACTGATGACAAGTTCCCGTGGGGAATATAATGATTGAAGTCTAGGGGTTATTCAACTCAGAAGTCATTCCATGGCATGGAATATATTGAGGCTATCGCGACACACCCTAGATATGTTCTGGAGAGACCTGCATCGCGAAAACTACTTATAAAACTACTTACCTATTCTACGCAACCTCTAACATCTCAACATCAGGTGATACAACACTACTGCACCCTTCTTATCATTCAACTGCCAACCGCCCCCGGTTTTGATATAGAATGGAAGCTGCAGATAATTGTATGACTTTCATGAATGCTGCACCAGCTCAGGAATTACCGTGCGACCTTTGTCAAGGCTCGGAGGTCACCGGCGCTTGTTGGTAAGGGCAAGGATTCTGACAAATCTGACGCACGAGGTAAAAACGTGTCTTCAGTGGTCAAAGGACGGCGTGTTAGAGGTTAGAGCCTTGTCAATATTTTCCCTAGGAAATAATGATTGGCCCGACACATGTGTTTAGGAGGGAGAGAAAAATGAAGCCAAGAACTTTAGCATTTGGCTTACACTTCTCACTCAATTTTCTCAAGCTGAAGGAAGTGACATTTGCAGGTCAGATCAGTGGCAGTATGACGTCTTACTTGATATTAAAGCGAACTATTTAACACACGTAACTGGCCGCCTTGGACGGCATAAGGGCAACAGCCGACGGTTTCATTCGACCAGACACTCAATCACGATGTTTTTTTGTATCCGTTTATTGGTTTTATTCATCTCGACATGCATTGCTCTTTGGTATCAGATGACGTTGTGGTCTTCCTAATCATCATCCATTACACGTGGGATGATAGAATCAGCGAAGCACCTGACCTAGTCCAATGGCTTAGACGTTGAGAACCTACATGAGATGGGCTTACCAATGATATGTTTTCGAATTTGGTCTAAATTAAATTAAAACGAAAAAAGGCTCAGTCCACATCTTGGTACAAATTATCATGTTAATCATGAATGCATCGAAGGTCCTTTTCTCATTGCTATTATAATTTTCTACAAAAGAAACAGATTTTAAAGGCATCCAATGCAATTTCAGAGCGGCAAACTCGAAATATTCAGATGCATGATATTGACACATACTATCCCGCATTAGCACATTTGAAGGACTTTGAAACTGCAGAAGCAAGCCCCAAGATGAGTTATTTATTTTCTAGGTGGTACCCTGAAAATCAACCCAGGTCATTTTCTCGTCAGCATTTTGGGCATTTTTGCTCCATGAATGTCGTTATACATTTGTAAAGTGTTGTTTCAACTTAGTATACGTAGATGAGTGAGTAGAATATTGACTTTAAAAAATCGGGTTTCCAAGCCCTAAAAGCTGTACTGGGTGCCTTTAAAGTGAATTTCTGTTGATGGAATACGACCATGAGAGTGAAATGATGAAGATGTGGACCTCTCTACTGCCCTGCCTTTTTGTGATGGACGCCGTGGATTTGCAATGACCTCCGTGTGCATCGAGACCCCCGACCCGAAGGAGACCAGACACACTCTGCACAGCATCCTTATAAATGGCCTATGAATCACATCAACCATTTTCAGCAACACCGTGCTTTTATCATAACCCACTTCTTTACAAACAGAAGTAACCCTCGGCTTAGAGAAGGAAAGTAAGATAAAATGTTGTTTCGTCAGGAGACGTAAAAACGCTTTGAATGTAAATTCAATACAGAATAGCAATAGCCTATACTAGATCCATAAATGAGTATTCAGAAATCTCATTTCCAACGTAAATCGAATGCCATATCAATCATAAGCAAACTATTAAATACATAAAATTACAATGGATCAATAAAGATAGGACATCAGCTTCCCTTTCACCTCGGTTCACACCAGATTTGATATTCATATCTACGTCTTTGCAAGTATAATCATATCAAAACACCATTACCTGTCTACCCAGAATAAAGAACTGCTCTTTTTATTGAATAAATGTGTTTCTAATCATTTCATCAGAATGATTTCATAAAGGTTTCAGCAAAGGTTCGCAATGTTACCCTGTGCCATTAGTAGCATCTTCTTCGATTTTATTGACTAGTTGGAATTCGTTGGGTGTAGGCTTGCGCTCATTCACGTTGTTGGATTTGATATATGGATCTTACTTCCATCATCTTGCAATTTGTCTGATTTCTGTTCCAAGGTGCTACATGTGTGCGCTTGAGTGACGACGTGGGGTTTCGGCCGCATATAAATAGTTCAGCCGCAAAGGGGGCGCTAGAACACTAGTTCCGAGTAGCGTTTGTATGCGGTTAATCGCAAATGAAAGCAGCAGTTAGAGGAGCCGGCAAAAGTAGCCGATTCTACTCCGACAAAGCGCAGCGGGCTGGATCGAGCGGACGCGTTCGTACCTGCGGACAGTTATGGCTACAGACACACAAGGGCACGGAACATGCAGGCACGACGTCGCGATTGGAAACAGCCTTTGAACTGCGTTGGCGTCACGATTTGAAATCATTGTGAGCTATAGAGTCCGACCGTTTCTCGTAACATTCTTCGTACGTACGGGGGATTCAACACGTAATGATACTAAGTCTCCCGATGCAAGATCGTCCCTAGTGGCTGGATGGCTGTACTGGACTGTTGGCGATGTGGGTAACATGGCTGTGAGATTCTGAGGGAGGAGGACGTGCCCCGACATTGTCGGAGCTTCAGCACTTCATGCAACGTCGAGCATTAATATTTATGCAACGTCGTCATGTTCTCTGCAATGGCACCTCCAGTGCGTCTGGTCGTCTCGGTGTTGGGCCCTCTGGTTTACCGTCGTTTCCAGCTTGCTCTGTCGGGTACCCGGTGAACACGGTTCGCCATCGGATCACGTCCCCCCACAGTGGGCAGAATGCCGCTCATCTCGGTCGGATTTACCGCGCTGCTGACCTGGTGTTTGGCGTCTGGGCAGCAGGCCCCGCAAACCATCCAGCCTTCCGGCCAGAGCCAGAACGGCCAGGACCCGCCGATGAGCACGTTACAGCGGATAGACGGGCTCCTCGAACAGATCAATTACGACAGGAATCTTAGGCCTTACTTTGGAGGTAAGACGGAATGCTTACAGGCCTTAGGTAACGATTATATATTAAACATTGCCATACTCGCATACATGCAACTTGAAGATATTTGCAATAATCTGATGTAGCAAAATTTGCACAATTCAATGCCCCGTACGATGAAACTGATAATGCGAAGGAGTTAATTTTTTTCTACAGGAGTTCAATTTATACACGGGCACTCTTTTAGGATTATTTTTCTATCATGTCAAAAGGGTAAATGAAGCATTGCCGTCCATAAAGCCTACGCTCTGTAGTTTCTGTGCCAGGGTTAAACCCCAACCTCAAGAAGAAAGCTACAAATCTTACAACCATCTCCGAATCGATTGTAAGGAACTGCTTTTTAACGGGCAGCAAAAAGGGCTGCAGCGCCGACTTCATGTCAAAGCTAAGACGAAAATGCTCCACCTGATCTGCCAAGTGTATATCTGCGGCGAGCATGCAAAGTGAATGCTGACAATTACGGGCTTGAAATACGGACCTGTGAACCATTACCAGAATCCAGAAACAGTTGTGTGTGCGCATCATTGCGAACATTCATCTGAACGTAACTGAACTGAGCCACCCATTAATCGTTTAGGAAAAAAAGAGAAGAAACTCATTGTTTACCGAGATTCCAATCCCTTTGATATTTTATATATTGTTGTTGTGCTTTGAGGACACAATGTTAGGCAATCAAGATGATGCCCTTGAAAATGCAGATGAGGAGAATGATGAAGTACCTCCAGCAGCATGGGTGGACACGTTCCTTCAGGCATCGGCGCTGATAACATGCAGTACTATAAAACTGCTGCAAAACGTGCCAGTAATTACAAAATGATGAAGGTGATCCACGTATCTAATTGCCTGCGAGGTTAAAACATGGCACCCCGAGACAACACCCCCATTGTAGTGCCAACATAATTTCAATCAATATGCCTGCTGTCCTGGCGTCATAACACACTACGCCTTTTGTAAAGAGTTCAGCGACCCATTCTCGTTTAGACACTTTATATTCCCTTTTTGACACTTTATTCTATATACATTAATTCTTTTACAAGCAAAATAATGAATCATTTTAGAATCATTTCACATTGTTTGTAACAGCCAGAAACCAGACAATAAACATGGCGAATTTGATGCCGGTACACCTTTGTTATGGCCGACTAATGAACGATCGTGTCCAGTAAAGATGAATCCCAATGCACAAGACGCAGTAACTAGCCATACAAATTGCTTCGGCGTGTTTTATCCCCACCAATTGCTCGTCGTGTTGGGTAGTAAAGGCACAGTAGAACTAACGAGTGAAACATTGGATACGTAGGAATCGTCTTTTGACGACGTTAGGTCTCTTTCCCCTCCAGTTGAGAATACCCATGGAGACCGCGGGGGGTGATTTTATACGTTCTAGAAAACGCATGACAAATCCGAGAGAGAGAAGGGGTGTACACACGCTGCGCATATGGACGGCATCGTGAAATTGACCCTGCCCATTCAACATTAAATCCATTCTACCTATCCCACCGCCATGGCATGCCAGGGAACATCCTGAGTCTCTCGGTTATTCAGCTATCAAAGGAGTCATCCCTACAGGATTGCTTCAGCCAAACGTAATGTCCAAATCAAAAGAATAAATAGCACGTAATTAAGTTTCCTTCGTGTCACTGGCCGAAACTACAGTGTATCTTTCACATTGAACCCCCTCCCCCACACTTTGTAGGTAGACGGTGCACGGCCACATTAACGACTGGACGTGAGGTCAGCACGTATGACCTGCCCTGACATTATTAACGTGGAGTTCGGCTTTCTTGGGCGGAAAGGGTTGAATTCCATCCTTCATCCTCTTCCACCCCAAACGTATCAACCTAACCTTCGCTGACTTTAATTGCGGTTTCTGGCAGTTCTAATTAATTTCAATAGCGCTGCTACACGTTCTGATGGTTTGTGCTTGTATATCACAGGTCAACCCGTGCGAGTGGAGATGAGTATGACCATAGCCAGTATCGACCAGATCTCAGAAGTTGACTTGGTAAGTCATTTCGTGTAGAATATAGAAATATAGAACGTCTATTGCAAATGGATGCCAGATGGTTAGTTGTAAATACAAACAACATGTATGAAAAAGAAATACAATAATATGAGAGACCTTGTACAAAGTTATACTACATTCTACAACATACATGGTACTAATTTTGTTGAGTTTGGCTTCTTCTCTTGAGGCAGTGGGAGACGAATTTAAGCACTTCTTCTGTAATGTTTTTTTTTAATTTTAGTAGTAGATTATTTTATCTTGGTGGGGAATAGTTGGCAAACGTATAAAGGTAAGAACGACAACATTTCACACTACACACCCGGCCCGACTTTCATGTGATTGCCGCGGGGCCTGTGGTAGACTGTCGCCCACACTGAAGCTCTAATCCCCGAGAGCGATGCAGTTGACAACAGTTGTTTTTTTTATGCGCAAGTTTTATACTTCATCCATATGCAAAGTACGTATACATACCGTAGCTTCATGCAGCCCGAAAAATTGTATTACGTATACATACCGTAGCTTCATGCAGCCCGAAAAATTGTATTACAGATATCCTCTAGTTAACGTTAACTCACTCACTTCACTGTACTATGCCACACAGGACTACACAAATATCACAGTGTCAATAGAATAGTTTGATACACTGTTTAGCCATTATATCATAAGTATAATATTCGCGAAACAAGACAGACCATCTTGCCGTCTTTGTCATTAAAATTTTTGATATAATTTTCGTATAGTTCATTGTTACATTTACTGATTTTCATGTTTTTTAGGAGACGGGTAACTGTAAGTTTCTAATTCAAAAACAATACAAAATTGTTTTTGTCCTACAAAATTTATAAGAATTCGTACGTATAAGGTCGTGCCTTAACCTTGTAAAATTCGCAGGAATAGTTAATTTTCAGTAACCTTTCATATCAACCCACATATAGGATCTTGTACTTTCTCCATTTGTAGTAGGCTCACGATTTTCATTACTTCTCTAGTGGATTACAGGTTAAGCTTACCGATGTAGGTTTGTGAACATATCGAATTAATAATACTACATATCGATATCAATGGATCTACGTTGTTCCTAAGAGGTCAAGTGAGGGCAAGACATGATGAAAGTTGTTTCTTTAAAAAAAGAAGACAGTTCTGGATGAGATAATAAGATGAACTGGTTCTGGTTGGGGTAAACCTGTTCCACCTGAGCGTTTTAAACTGGTTATTATTGGGATTAACTGGTGGGTCTAGTTCTTAGTGTCTGAAGATAGATGCACCATGGATGTCAATGAAACATTTCTTTATCTGTGAGAACTATTCTTTAAGGTTTAGCCCCACCTAGTAATACATGCTGGCTAATATTCACCTTTACAGTTTCCAAACAACCTTGGGCTTATTAGGATGGTTCCATTAGTTCTCATTAGAAGTTCTGACGAAGGCTTGTCGTGCTGTGCCGGTTTTTCTTAATGCACTTTAAGTGGCTGTCGGCTCTTTGAAATAGTCTAAGCCACCACAGGCTGGAGAAGGCTGCCGTACTGTTACACAACGAACGTATCCGGACCGACCAGAGTTGAGTATCAGGAGAAAAATATCTGTCAGCTACACACATTCTCTCTGGTTCTCCCGTTGTCTACGCTACGTTTACGTGTAATCCTTGGGCATATATAGGATCTATCGTATACAGTAATATACTATGCATAATGTATGGAGGTTTGAGGTTTGGAGACTGTGGGCAAAAACCAAGCGAGTGCCAAAACTGGTCGGTTTCTGTGGAAATTGATAGAGTAGAGAGCTGATGCATGTAGAATGTGCCCTGAGTATCTTGTTTTACCAACGCTCATCCAAAGTTAAAAGCGTCTGTTAAAGCATGCCCACTCTGGGGGCAGATATATAGCGGACACGCTTTGCTGTTTAAGATTGCAGGTCTGAAATAGACACGGCCTGGGCTCAACCTTCAGCTGCCCTTCGTAACTAATGACAGGCTACAAAAGCACAGTAGAAAGTGCTGGAATTAAAAGCAGGCTGGCTAGCACGAGAGCGCTTTCCGCCGGTCTTAATCCTCGAGGTTCAAGTGCATGATAGGCATCTGTAATCAGCGGGACTGACCAGGGAGCGGTCCGCTCAAATTGGACCCGGTGGAAATTATCTCCGAGATATTCAACACTCTGACGTAACGGCGAGGTTTAGATTTGATGCACGTCAGAATGGCGGACGTCCTGAGCATGGGATTGTTAAATGAGCCCATCTAAAGTTGTAGCAGGCAAATACATGCTGATTTAATGTACATCAGACAGAATGCTGGATCCAAAATGGCATAAAATTGCCGCGGGGCCAGATTTGGCGATGAACTGTGGCGAGATTGTTACCTGTTGCCAGTCTGTCTGGCGACGAGCAATGGCGGGCAAAATCGCTATTTTTCTGCCCTCTTTAGTTTATGTCTGCCTTTCATTTTAATATATCCACCCACACAACGCGACAGTTGTCAAATCACTCCGGTGACACAGGGATATGATTAAATTGTAATATTGAACTGCATGGCGCCAATTAAGAGGGTCCCTTGGAATTTCTGCACATAAACCCGCAACGTTACATAGACGCCATATGCACAAGACCGATTACCAGAACCAGTCGCACATGTTTTGCATCACTCAGATCAAAAATAATATCAGCAATCCTGTAAAAACAGCGGGGAAGCGCATGAGACAAAATCCCCAAACGCCGAATAACGATAATTAAATCAAATCTATTCGCAGTGATTCATTCCTAATATTTGATTTATTCCTTAAATCTTATAAACCTGTTGTGATAGGACTGACATGTTTTCTCCGGACTTAAACTTCCAAGAATCTCCCAAAATGTTAAATCAACCCTTCAAAAACAACTGTTTCACCAGCACGTAACTACATACCGGGGTATTCTGGTTATGTCGCGTCGTGCCCTGTGACTAACAAAAGGGAAACTTACTCAATGAGCATGGATGGGTGACTCCCCGTTGCCCCGATGGTTGAATGGGCCTGTTTATCTTTATTTCTCAAAATTGTGGTTCAACCGTATTGAATCATTTAACTCACGTTCCTATTCTCGTGGCGCTGTCAAGGTTCCCTGCATTTTGCGTCTCTACATTGCCCATGCCTGCTTACCTGTTTGCGATGGCAACAGCGCAGAACAGACCACTAAAGCTGCCACAGGGCACGGTATTGGATCCAGCTGTTAAAGTATGTCCGTGTTTGTGTGTTTGAATGCGCTTTTGTATGAATATGCGTTTTGAGCAACCTTCCTGATACTTTCAAGCTGAGATGCGGTCACCTCAGAACACCTCCGCCCCTTCATTCAATCCGAGAGTGTGGAGACGGGAGATAGAAGCGTCCCCAATAACTGCCTCTTTACGGAGCGCTTGAGAGGGAGGGAGCGTAAACCGAGATTAAAGATGGTGTCAGCCCAAGGATGATTGAAAGTGATCTCCTGGCGGATAGAACTGTGTCGGACGAATTGATATCATTAAGGCGACGTGATAGTGCAGCCAGCCGTGCCTGGGCCTGGCCGTGAACGTGATAAGACGCAGCCTTAA